ACAATCAAAGGTTTAGCAACACAGCATCTGCACTGATATCACCACCTTCTCCTGCTCTGATATAACTCTGTGAATCTTCAACAGTGAAACACACCCACTTAAGTTTTCCTATCACTTAAAGTGACAGGAAACCTTCCCAACCCTCCAGACCAACAAAAGTCTCCTCTTCATGGATCCAGTCTTTTTATTTGGAAGTAGGCGTACTTCATTGTTGATTTGAAAGCTCTGCACATTTGCTCACAAAAACCCTTATTTTTATTGTCACTTTATGGGAAGGGGGGTTTTGACACTAGAACTTGTGCAGGGTGATATATTGCCATCCTTATTTTTATTTTTGCAAAGAAGTCTAATTGGAATGTGTAGAAAATGTTTGACATATTATGACAGCTTGTTCAAGCAAGTTTATGTTCAAATTTATACAACAAACTGATTTTATTGAAATGGAACAGTGCATATTAGAAATAGATAAATGTTCATTTCCATCCATAATGCCATAAAATAAACAACACAAGTGTAAGTGTAAGTTAGCCTCAAAATACAAACATTCTTCCAATTTCCCACATAAAAATAAGAAATACAGTAAAAACAAATGAAAACTATATGTAGCATAGCATAACTTATGTGTAAATGTTGTGGCGGGAGACACAATTCAACAGAATCCAGTACAGTTTGATCAATGTGACATAAACAACTGTTAATGTAGGAAAAAGCAGAGAATTATTCATAATCGCAGGCCTGTAAACAAATCTAACGTCCTCATTTGAAAAAACCCAGATGGAACCGAGTGCAGATATGCTTTCTAGTAAACACTTATCTCCTTCTATCAAGATTAAACGGTGTGAATGGGACACAAAAAGCCTGTGATCCTGACAGTGCTCGTGCTTTTGTCTTGTATAAATAAAGATTTACAATGATCTGATTGGCATTATCTTCCACTATCTGTGCCAGAAACCAATAAAAAAAACTCAAGGTGAACTGTCCATGATCCATTGTTATTTTGTTCTTCTAGAACATCCAAGACCAGGATGTTTTTGCCGTTGTTCTCAATGTTTAAAATCTCCTTAATTAAAACTAAATCTGATTTCCTGCTGCAGAAAGGGTTTCTGAACACAACAAACAGCTCCTTTGTGGACGGGTTAGAAGACAGCGACAACGAGGAGCTGGACAAGCCCATCGACTTCAAGGACCTTCCCATCCGCATCGACTGGAACGCCGAGCTTCCTGCCAACATTGTGGTTCCCAGGGTGGACATCCACAGCCTGGTGCTGGACTTTGCTGCCGTCTCCTTTCTGGACATATCTGGACTCAAGGGACTCAAAACCGTGAGTGATTCTGTTACCACTGATCCGAATATCTTCTTATCGCTTCCATATTTCCCCCTCCACCTTCACCTCCTCTGTTTCCTTTCCAGTTGCTGAAAGAACTGGTCCGGGTTGAAGTTGAGGTCTACATCGTAGCTTGTGATCGTAAGTGTGAAACTCCGATTCAAACAAGTTCCAACACCTATAGTAGCATCACCTTTAAAAAGTCAATTTTCTCTGGTTCATCAATCAAAGACACACAAGAAAAGAGACAGAAAAAGAATTGATTCTGTGTCAAAGATCACCTTCCAGCTGAACAATGACCCTAACAGGCTGCCAAAGCTAAAACACAATGGTTTAGATGTGTTAGAATGGCCCAGTCAAAGTCCAGATGTAAATCTGAATGACAATCTGATTTCTACAGGTTCTCTCCATCCAATCTGACTGAGTTCAATTGTTTTACCAAGACTATTGTAGACTTCCAGAGCTGCCTTTCATTTGCATTTTAGTTGACAGTCTGATGCAAATGCTGGAAGTTGAGTTTGAAGCATCGCACCAAGACTAAGACCAGCTGATTTTGAAAAGACAAAAACTGAAGCTCTCACATCAAGAGGAACAGGAAGTTTTGATGAAACTCTCATTTCTTCTGAACCACAGCGTACATCCTGGAGAAACTCCACAACTGTTGCTTCTTTGATGATGAGGTTCAGCCCTCCATGTTCTTCCTGACGCTGCACGATGCCGTGCTGCACATTTTGGAGAAACATCCAGAGGCGACAGGAAGGAAAGCAGACCAGGATAAGGTAAAATCCTTCTCATCTGATCACATGACAACCGTTTTCTAGTTGTTGCACATTAAATCAGACTAAACGTTTAGCTCAGTCAGGATTATCCACAGCACTCTACATACCAAAGAAATGTTGCAATTTTTCTGTTTTGTTTTCTTTCTTTCATTCTTCAAACTCTGAAGTTTAGTATTTAGGTTAAATTGCATTTATGCCTGAGATAAAATGTTTTCGGCATGAATCCATAAACTTCTCTGGGTTTTATTTTAAGATCTGGAATTAAAATCTACACTTTGTGATGGTCATTTCCAGAAACACTGACGTTGCTGTTCTTATATCAGTCATAACTAATCAATCAATCACATTTTATTTGTATAGCACATTTCAGCAGCAAGGCATTTCAAAATGCCTTACAACTAATCTGCTGGTCCACTTAGAATCATTGTCTGTTTGGAAGACCAACTTTCACCACATGAACACGTCCTTCTTGAAAATGAGATCCAGATTAACAGGGTTTACCTGGTTAAATAGACGAAATAATAATAATAATAATAATAATAATAATAATAATAATAATAATAATAATAATAATAATAAACTTCCTGGTCTTGATGATTGAATTAATCCTGAGTGACCTAAAACTGGAAATGTCTTATGTCAGAAACAAAAAGTGAAAAATGTTTGCATGTTTATGAAGCATGATTGATTGCACCTGTATAATCAAAATGTATAAAATCTGAATGTGTTCATGTTTCCCTACAGATACTAACAACAGTGACAGTCCACCATCAGAACCACAGTGTGAGGAGCAGAGATAAAAATGTAAGCTGATTTTCTTTTTGTCCAGCTGAAGCTTCCTGCTGTTGTAAACGTCCTGTACCGCCGGGTCACTGCCACTCGGTGCACACAGTGTTTGAGTTTTGGGAAATATTTCACTTGTTTCATTTCATTCAGCTTCATGTAGATCAAGGACAAAACACTTAAAGCGCCACAACAAAGAAATAAAACATGTCGGCTTTAAAGGCTCATGCTTCAGTCTGTATGCAGACCATGAGCCTCTTTCTGAGCTACAGGCAAAGCATCACATCATCTTAATGTAAAAGGGAAGTAATAATCTGTCAGCTTAGATTTTACAGAAACACTTTTAAAGGTGGTCAAAGGTGGTCAGCTCTGCTTATCTGTTTGTCACATAAAACCTCCATGAAGATGCAAAAATGTGAAAATTACATGAAACTCTTGTCTTGCAGAGTCCAGTGCCAGCTGCAGAGACCAAGTTCTAACCAGGACAGAAGACAAAATCAATAAATTAAACAGCAAAAAGAAAAGAAGACTATATATTTTATAGATTGCTTTATTTATCATGCCTAATTAATATCCGTTTTATAGATTGTATTTTAAATGATTGTAAAATTATTGCGAAAAGATGAATCCATAGTGCATTGGGTGGTAAAGAAACGTAAATATAATCCCAGATTAACAATACATCATGAATTCTAACTGAAAAACAAAACGCAAGCATGAAAAGACGGAATCCACCTCATGATGGCGCTAGCAGGAACAATTCCGACTGTCTTCGTCTCGCATCATTCTGAATGTCTGCAGGAACTGCTTTATGCAGTTCCTGTAAACTCTTCCCGTATTGATGGGCAGCAGTTGTTTCTCTGAGGTCATCGGTGATGATGTGGCGTCACACACCTGGATGCTCCAGAACAGCAAACATCCACGACTCAAATACAAATTCAGAAAGACTTTATTGATCCCAAAGGGAATATAAATGTCATTAATTTTAAATTTGTGGAGTGATGGCTGTGAGCAGGACTCCTGCTGTGATTAGGTTTTCACACTGATGATCAGTTTATGCAATAAATTCCTGTAAAACTTTTTATATATCATGTCTGTTGTTTATCTAAGCTTGTATTTACCAAATTTCAAGTTTTTTATATATAAAAGAAAATGTTTTATGTGATTGTTTCTGTGTGAGAAACATCATAGGACCTGGAAGAGGTGCAGATGTAAATATTTCCATTCCATGTAAACTCTTTTTATTATGAATTTAAGAGCTTGTTTTTAGTTTTTTTATATTGTTGTACATAGAAAATATTGTTATAATATTGTTATACTCAATGAAATGTACTGTTTTATTACAAAAGCTGTATGCTGTTTTTTATACTATAATTGTGTCAAAGTTTTGTGACAGCTCTGTTCTGTTTTCAAAATTAAAAAATAATCTTTATACAACTTATTTTTATTGGTTTGTTTTGTGCTCATGAATATTTTACACTATGATAAGGAATGAAAGATATACCATATAAACTTCTATGGTGGTATTATTTAACTTTTAACTTTGTCAAAGTGATTAAAAAAGATTCATTATTCCTAAAAAGCTGCTAAATGTTGACAACATAAAACAATCTACTTTTTCATTTTTTTCACATTAGCCACCATAAAGTCATGACAAAAATGTATACATTAAAAAAAAGATCATTTTTGTGGAACTCAACTCCAAAAATTCACTTTCTTTCTGTCATGGCATTCTAGAAAGAAAGTGGACCCAAAAATAACTCCCTGTGGAATCCCACATAGGATTATAGCACCACTGAAAATAAATCCTTTCATCTTATCAATTAATATGTTTCTAAAACCGCTAGAAATTTGTTCCTGACAAGCCTTAGTTTAGGTTTTCGTGTGAAAGTTTGTGATTATCAACATCATTAGCCTAAAATTAATCTCAAAAACGTTCCTATGATTTTAACGATGATGACGTGGCTGGTTTATCACTCACTCATTCTCAGGTGAAGTAACAGAAAGAGAGCAAAGAGACAATGAACTATGAATCTGTGTTAATCATTGAACAGAGTGCAGACAAAGACTGCATTATGATGGGACTAATGTCAGATTTCAGGTTGGAGGCTTTTTGGCCAAAGGTTGTTCAAGTGATCTTTTTGCGTTTTGTCGGAGTTGGACTTTTAAGAAGCGTTCACTGGAATGACGGTGACTTCGAGAAAACAGTATGTGGTTTCCAGACCTAAGTACTCTGAAGACAGCCTGGCTGAAGACCATGAGAAAATCGAGAGGAAACACAAAGCGCTCATGGTGCATGTTAAAGAATACTTGACGTAAGTGTTCCTGGGCTCAATCAACGCCTCAGTGGCGATCAGCTGCAGCGCTGACCCGTCTCTCATTTTTAACCTTCTTTTTTTTTTCATAATTATTCAAGATGAAACAGATAATATTGTCACCTGTGTGGATAACTGTGGCCAAAAGTAGATATATAGGTTATAGACAATGTATATTCTTCAATACTATTTTTTTTAAGAGAGACAATTAGATGAACTGTTATTTTTTCTTTGTGTTTGTTGGATTGAAGCAGCTGCGATGCAAATCGTGCCAAAAAAGCGCTGGTCTCTGTTCTGCCTGTGATTGGCTGGATGAGGACGTACAGAGTCAGAGAGTGGCTGCTGGGTGATGTGGTGTCTGGGGTCAGCACCGGACTGGTGGCCATCATGCAGGGTGAGAACACCAGCCCCACTGTTTGGAAATGAGCTTTCACTTATTCACAAACTAAAACTCATATTTAATCAAAATCTATGTGAATTTCGATTTATGCACTTTTACCTTCCACCTACCTTTCCATCAATATACTTGGATGCAGATGCACAGAGTAACTACAAGATATGAGTTAAAAGAGGGGAAAAAAGGGATAAAAAGACAAATAAACCCTTCGCCTTGGCTGGAATGGAGAAAAAAGGTTTTACTCAATCTCTAAATCCTCCAGAAATCCTGGGTCCTGTTTTATTCACTGTTAGTATTTGATGCATTTTTTATTGACTGACTTTTATTAAAGTGTCTTCCAAGTTGTGGTTTTCTATCGGACACACTTTGAAACTTCTTGCATTTCAAAGAGTTCATGACGCCACATGACGTTTGGCCTTGGCAGAGAAACAGTCCCTGAGCACCACGGATCCTCCATCGTGCCTTTTCTGGACACTTTGTGTAAAATCTTTGTGAAACCTGCACATTTCACAACCTGCCCCACCTGGAGCGTATGTTAGCAAACAGCTGACTTCATGTTTGCATGATGATTACATCTGATTTTTCCTCATTCACTTTTACTTGATACTTGTTACTTTTATTTCAATAAAATAAAGGTTTTAAAACTCGATTCAACACTTTTTAAAAATGTTGCTGTAACTCAAAATCCAAGGTCCTTTAAGGAGTTGTTGTATAATCTGTGGGCAGGAAGGATCTCCTGTAGCAGTCTGTATTGCAGTGAGTCTGAAGAAGCCTCTTACTGATGACATTGACTGTTGCTCTGACGAAGTTGCGTTGAATATTTGCCTGACTTATAAAGCTCAGCAAACGTCTGCCCGTGTTGAACAGAAAGTTTTCTTGTTCCTTCTCATTTTGGAAAATGTCTAAAAAAGGTTTGAGCCAAATGATACAATTTAGAAGATATAGATAGTCTTTGTCAGGGCTACCCCTGACAAAGACCAAACTTAAAGACTTCTCTCAGTTTGAAGTTAGCAACAAAAACACATCTATTAAAAAAACTTTTGCAAAGTTTTCTGGCATTCATTATATAGAAACCATTCTAACTGACCTAAAATTTAAACTTTAACTTCAGACAGTGAAGAAAAAAATTCACTTTTTTATTTTCTATTTGTACACAATAGAAACTTCTGGTTTCTATTGTGTACAAATTTAAGTTTGGAAATTTTCCCGCCTGACAATAAAATGCTGAAATGATTTCATCACATTTATCGCCACTGCTGGTAATCTTGTGTGTCACACTTTTCCTGTCATGAGCATCACCTGTGATTCCATAATTACCCTTATTACAGCACAAAGCAATAAAAAATGTGACTCCACTTTTAATGTAGCTAAACAAAAATGTCAAATACTTAAACTTTGTAGGGATACTGGTCTTTTCTGATTCTGTTTTTGCTTTATTAATCTATAATATTGTCGTCATTTCCTAGACATAATAAAAATGTTTAACTTGACAGTAGCTTCACTCAGATCAAATATCTGCAAATATTTTGTCTCTGTTACTTACCATGAAATGTACACAAGAGGCAGGAAATGTAAAAAATGATCCTGACTGCTGTTAAATGTTAAAGGAGACCAAATGCAAAGGAGAGGATTAAAGGCTCCAACTACAAAAGGAAAGAAAAGTCTCTTCACACCAACCTCTCCTGAAACTAATGAACATCATCTTTAAACTTATTTGAATGGGATTTCCTGTGTCTTCCTGCAGGACTGGCCTTCTCCCTGCTGGCGTCGCTGCCTCCCAGCTATGGACTCTACACGGCTTTCTTCCCAATGCTGACATACTTTTTCTTTGGCACTTCAAGGCATATATCTGTAGGTATGTTTTATTACCAGGGTCTGTGCTTTACTCATTCAATCCAAGTTTTTCCCAAGAGATAAAACAAGTGTTTGAGCGTCTTGCATAATATCCGTGTTGCTGGGTGGATCTGATCATTTTGATCAGATTAGTGAAGATTTGACTCGGCTCGTCCGGTTCCATCCTCTCTGAAGGCTCCTTCCCTGTGCTGAGCCTCATGGTGGGAGCCGTGGTGACCCGCCTGGTCCCTGAAGACGGACCGCATGCTAACATCACAGATTTTGAAGGCCTGACCCCGGACCAGAAGCGAGTCCTGGTGGCCTCCTCTGTGACCTTCCTCATGGGTATTTTCCAGGTGAACTGGATTCTTTATCCCTGGATCATGTAATTCTTTTCTAAACAGACTTACATCTGAACCCAGAAGTTTACATGCACCAAATAAAAAGACACATATGCATCTTGTTTTTTTTTCTCACTATCTGAAGTTAAGTCAGACCAAACATCTCTTGGGTTAGGTTAGAGTTGCCAGAATTGTTTCTATTTGCTGAAATAACAAGAGAAAAAAATTACAGATTTATTTAACAATTTTTTTTATATGAATTTATGGAACTCATTTAGCAAATAGAAATAATTTTGGTAATTCTAACGGTCCTATAACAGGAAAGATCTGATCTGACTTAACACCAACCAACCAATCAACCAAACAATCAACTAATCAATTGTCAAGTGCCATCGTTAAACATCAAAATGTTGGCTAATGTTTCATTTTTAATGTTTCAAAAGCAGTTCTAAAGAGCTGAGTTTTGGTATTGATTTAAAGTCACTCTGTGTTTTGGATGTTTTACAATTTTCTGGAAGTTTGTTCCAGTTTTGTGGTGCAACTTGTTTATTCGCTGAACATAAACTTCTGCTCTCAAATGCTTGTTCTCTGCTTTTTTTGTTTTGTTTTGCTCCGTTGCAGCTCGCCATGGGGGTCCTGCAGGTGGGCTTCATTGTCGTCTACCTTTCAGACACTCTGGTGTCTGGATTTACCACAGCAGCTGCTGTTCACATCTTGGTGTCGCAGCTCAAGTTCGTGTTGGGGCTGACTGTTCCAGGAATCAACGGCCCACTCTCCATGATATATGTAAGTCCAAATTTGGTGCAATCCGATGACAAAATGAATCAAATGTTTTTCCTAGGGATGAAACCCCAACCTGACCAGATTGTACAAATCAGTGCCAGTAGCCTCCCGCCCCCATCCTTTGGGGCACAGCACTGGGCAATCAGTGCCCCTTACCTTAACCCTCCTTACCCTCCAAGCGATGCGCCTGGTCCACAACCAATGAGGAATCTAACCAGTGTGTTATGGGAAATACAGCCAGCCTTGGAATCATCCAGTACAAGCTCAAGCGTTTCTCTGGTGACATGTTGGTTAAGTTTCCTGATCCTGCTACCCTTAAATGTTGATCTTAGACAAGTCTTGAGGTTTGAGGTGTTGAGGCTGGATAGAGGTCTTGTTTAATCTCATATACTGTCAGTTAGTCAGGTGTACTTGAGTTATTGGGTCAAGTTTTAAAAAGGGAATGGGAGCAATTAGCTGCTTGAATCCTGACTTTTCAAAATTGGGATTCTGAGCTCATACATAGGATGAAGACAAACCTGCCAACTAAGCAGCTTGTCATTTTATGTTAGGGTGACAAAACATCCTAACACTTCTATTAAACATACAGTTTTAGGTTTTATTAAACTGTAAGTTGTCTTTAAAGATCAGCCAAACATCCTAGTTGGCAAATGTGTTACTTTTATCCCAAAAATTGGTGGTTTGTACTATAGCTGTAGAGGTTGTTGCCCGTGGTGACAAAAGAAAGAAGGGTGGACAAGACTAAAAAAAAACATAATTTATCAGTCATTTTCAAATGAAGTATTGAGGAAATGATGCTTGTTGCTGAGAAAAGCAAGATTATTTTGAGTATTTTCTCCCAGCTTAAAATTCAAAGATTTTCTGGAGTGTGCTTGGTAGGAAGTGGCAGAAGGAAACCGGGGAGTGTTACCAAATAGCTGCTTTTAAACCAGGTCCTGTTGTCATGGTGAGGGTCAAGGGTGCTTAAGGGTCACAATGACAAACCCTGCATCAGTCCAATCACTTTAGTATAGCGAGTCAAAGGCAAGGAACAGAATATGACTCAAACTTTTGTCTGTATGTGTTTAGCTCAGATAGAAGGCCCAGAAATATTGATACAACATAAACATATTCCAGAAATGGTAGGGAATTATTTATGTTAGAGTATTATATTTTGGAACACATCGTTCAGAACGAAACAAACTCACCCAAGGGAGATCCAAACATCTACCAAAAGGTTGATCAACCCTTGATCTGTGTTGGTTTTAGTTGGGTTTTTTTTTCCCTGAATTCTCACTGTTTTCAGTGAAAAATGTTGGTTGCCACCAAATCAAGACAGATCTAAGGTTAGTCATAACTTTAATGGACAAGATGATCATAAGTGGGATTGTTTGGCATTAACACTGCAGATAGAATTCAAGAAATGGGTTAAAAGTTGCAAAAGAATGTCCAGGTATGATAAGGATATTTATTGGGAATATGATTTGATCATTTGATAGGTTGACTATCCTTAGGGTCAACTGCAAACGATTTAATTGAATGTATATTCACTGCTTTGGTATATTTCTTTGAACAAAATCTTCATCTTCAGTAAAGAATGCTTTTCAAGACGCTGACATGTGCTCCTGCTTGACAGACCTTGGAAAAGATCTTTGTCCAGATCACCTCCACTAACAAATGTGACCTGGTGATGTCTATAGTGATCATGGTGGTGGTGTTTATTGTAAAGGAGGTTAACGACAGATACAGAGCCAAGCTTCCTGTTCCCATTCCCATAGAAGTTATAATGGTGAGTTCTTATGTTTATCCTCATTTGTCTTTTTTACGTGACTTATTATGGAACTCCAAGGTATCCTCTACCAAATAAGACTAGTACACCGTATTTCATCGTAACTACTCATGAAAAATGTGTGTTTTCATTCACACAGACTGTTATAGCTTGCGGGGTGTCCTATGGCTTCAACTTTGAGAAGAGGTATGACGTTGAAGTTGTTGGCACAATGGTTAGGGGGTAAGTTTGAAGTTCTTCATGTATGCTTTCCTCTTGATATTTCATCAGATAAGTTATTAAAAATAAATAAAAAATAACCACTTTCACGTTCTAGGTATGAGTCTCCGATTCTGCCTAGCGTCCAAGTCTTCCAGGAGGGTGCAGTGGAGGCCTTTCCTGTAGCCATTGTAGGATTCGCTGTAGCCTTTTCTGTGGCCAAAGTGTACTCTAACAAACATGATTACACCATTGACGGTAACCAGGTGCGCTCTTTGCCAACGCTTGATCGATAGTTTGCCTCTGCTCTAACAAATGGAGTTAATTGATCACTGATGGTCAACAACGAGAGTGTAAATCCTCATAACTTTAGGGTTGAATATTGCTTTTATATGATGGATTGCATGAGTCAAGCATGCAGTAAAGAATCCTTTGACCTAAATTGATTATACTTTTTTTTTGCTGATAATGGCGCTGTCTTACATGTCGGAGCTGTCTTACATCTTAGGAGCTTGTTGCATTTGGGGTTAGCAACATGTTTGGAGCAACCTTCAGATCTTTTGCAGCCAGCACGGCCCTTTCCAGGACCGCAGTGCAGGAGAGCTCTGGAGGCAAAACGCAGGTCAGATGTGTCCAGAATTGTGCTCACTCTCTTCCATATCCCCATCTTCCACTTGTACTCAGAGTTTACTCACATCACAAAACCAGGTTGCCGGGCTGGTCTCAGCGATGATGGCAATGATTGTCACAGTGGCCCTTGGCTTCCTGCTGGAGCCACTTCCAAGGGTGAGATCGTCGATGTCTTTATTAAATAGTAAAACTGTTGTTTTCCACCTGCTAGTTGCTCAACATGCTACTGATAGCCCTCGTGCTAACATTAGTCTTGCTAAAATAAGCATACTAGCTATTTTCTGTATCTATTACTCATCTGTATTATATTGAGTGGATTAAGCCACTGTTCGCCAACAGGCTACTGATATTCGATAGCGTCAACATGCTAGTTGCTCTACATTTTAGTGCTAGTCCTCATGCTAACGTTAGACGTTACACATTTTAGTGAATTTATTTAGATACTAGTCACATTTAAAATACTGAATGGAGTAACTTGGTGTAAAATCCACATGCTAGTGACACCTCACATGCTACAGACAGAATTTAAGCTAACCTTATCATTTTAGCTCATTTTCAGCATAAAAACATTGGATTCCAACCGACAAACACACTTTGGCAAGGCCCTAAATATTTGTAGTTTGATTCCTCTGTACAATAGTAACGATAACTATTTTTTGTGTGACTGCAGTCTGTTCTGGGTGCCTTGGTAATCGTCAACCTAAAGGGGATGCTGATGCAGTTCAGAAAAATACCGTACCTTTGGAGGAGAGACAAACCAGAATGTGTAGGTGCTAATAGACTGTTCAAAATAACAATTTTATATAATGCTTTGAAAAAGTACTTGCCTCCCTGCAAATTTTCTGTTTCTCTTCCTCATCTTTTTTCTTCTACATATTAATTTTTTTCTGGGCTTTAATTCTAAAGTAGCTTCCACAAAAATCAGTAATTCTAGAAAAAAAGAAGTACTGAAAAAAAATGACAAAAGCAATTTCAAAATTCTGGAGGATGCAATATTCTGCTGCATAACCCAGGAGTTCCTGACTTAAGTCGGTGGTTCCCAAAGATTTTCTAGGCCCCCCTATGGATTACAATAAAAAAAACCCAAAGACGAAAAAAAAAATCAACTGGCCACACACACCGTTCAACATAAACCTATTAGACATATAAACATATTTTGTTTTTAAACTCCACTGAAGTTTAATTCATACTATAAACCATCTTTGTCATCAACATTTTTGTGTAACTGTTTTTTTTTTTGGTGTTTTTTTCATTCACCCATACCACTTCCTGTGCGCCCCCGCAATGACTCTGTGGCCCCCCGAGGGGGCGCGCCCCACACAATGGGAACCACTGACTTAAGGTCAAGAACAGGTAGATTTTACTTCAGATTTTCTGCTTGAGACTAAAATGTATGCTTTCATTTATTACAGTAAATTGTCCGGGTTCGTGTTATCGGTGTCTCATATTAAAAAAAAAAATGTACGGTAATGACCTGATTCATTAAACTGTGACAGAAAACAAAGTCAGAATAGAATCTGTGAGTGGGGCAGATGCGGTTTCATCGCACTGTATTTGAATTTTTTATGCTGTCGTTCTGGTACTGACTTTTTTGGTGTGTGTGCAGGTGGTGTGGGTCGGGACGTGCCTGGGTGCCATCCTGCTTGGACTGGATCTTGGTCTGGCTGTGGGTTTAGGCATAGAGCTTCTGACTGTCGTCTTCAGGACTCAGTTGTAATAATACACTTTATTGCATCTGACACGAACGAAAAAGGAAACTTTCAGTTGTACTGAATCAGATAGAAAGGCATATATGACATAAAAACACATAACTTCAAAGGTAATATGAGTATTGTAATAAATTGGCAGGACTCCATTGCTATTTCTTGTGTAATTATATTTTATAGCATTGACATGTTGCTTAAGTTTATCACTCATCAGTTTATTACTCATTGTTGCAATCAGGGGCCGCGCCAGGAATCTTGACAAAAAATTAAATCAGACAAAAACAATTAATCAGAACCAGGAGGAGGGTATTAGTGCCGTGAATCATCCTCATTCACTCGCTGCTAAATGTGCTGATGACGGAGAAACAACTTATCGTTATTGCTAGCTACAGCACAGCACAAAGCAAGGAGAGGGAGGGAGCAGCCACATGAGATTGTGATTAACAGAACTAAAACTCTCCTCCCTGGTTGTTTCAAGGTAGTACTGGGAGAAAGCAGATTAAATAATATTTTCACAGATTTTTTCTCTGCCATACTGTCTCAACATAATGACAGTTTTAACAAATATGCAGTGGGTTCAGTGCAAATATGGATGTGTGTTTTTTGGTCTGAGAGGGGCAACATTTGATTTTTACTATTTTAGAAAACACAATATGATTAATTTTGCAATTGACAGGCCCCAATTTTTTTATATTTCTATAAAATAAATAAATAAATTGCAGAGGGCCCTTGGATCTGTCATAACTTTTCCCCCAAATACGCCCACACCCTGGTTGCAACAGTGTTCAATATAATTCCTATTAATAGAAAATATTTAAACCAATCCAAGCCAAACCCTCAGCAGGTCTGACTGCTGTGACAGCAGCCTGCCCCCTGCTGGTGACACAGTGAGACATGCATTGATGTTTCAACAGAATCCAGAGACTCAAAATATGTTTATTCAAATTATGATTTTTTTTTCTTTTTTTTTTATTTTATTTCTGTCCTATAGAATAATGTCTCAACTTAAGGAAGGTTTTGGTTCCTTCTCTTTCAAAACAGTGCCTCCTCTCATTGGTGACTGTAGAATCAGGTTGTGATGTTTGGCTGAAAAACCAAAACAAAGTCTCTGTTGAGTCAAAAGTGGAGAACAGATCTACCGTAATGGATAAATGAAAAGCTCAACAACATAGGATGAAAATTCATCATTTTTATGTGGCTCTCAAATTTTGATGTTTGAATCATGCACTCACCAAATGTATCACAGCCAAAGTCTGAAAGATGGAAAAGCTACTGGCTCACCCAACATCTTGTTGGTAATGTAGAGGGGACAGATTCACTTGATGGACGTGGAGCAAAACAAACAAACAAACAAAAAAAAACCTGACATAAGCTGCTTTCATTAGACCCTGGCCTCTAATTTTTCTGACGAAAAATTAGAGATCATCAGCAGATTTGAATAGTGGATGCAATTGATTAATTATGTCATTAGTATGTCTTCTCAGGGCTGTCTTGTGAACAACTGCTGTTTCTCTTTAGCCCCCGCTGTTCCATTTTGGTCAATCTCCCAGGTACAGACCTGTACAGAGATCAGAAGGATTATCCTCTGGTGAGTTGGTAAAATAAACTCAAACACTCTATGTCCATAAAATCATAAAATCACGTCCATCGTCCTCAGGTATGTGAACCAAAAGGAGTAAAAATCTTCCGGATACCTTCGCCCATCTTCTTTGCCAACATCGAGTTCTTCAGGAACAAGCTTGTAGAAGCTGTGCGTATAAAATGATGCTGCTTTCATCTGGGTTTTTTTTTTGTCTTGGCTTAAATAAGGAAGCACAAAATGATCACACTGTGTTCCAGGTTGGGTTCAACCCTCTCAGAGTTTTACGGAAGAGGAACAAAGTGCTCCGAAAAATCAAGAAGCTCCTACAGAAACGGGATCATGGCATCACAGAGGTGGGAACTTATTCTAGATAGAGAGTAAGTGAAAAAAACAAAACAAAAAAACCTGCTGGTGTTTTGTTGGATCAAGAGGATCATAATAACAATAGAGGAGCTGCAGAGAGTTACAGCTCAGGTGGCAGACTTTCCACCAAGGATGCAATATCCACTGGTGATCACTTATCCCTGACTTCTTTACTTTGACAGTAGTTCAGAGTTTAATACCATCACCCTGCAGAGAGTTGGACTGAACACCACTTTACGTCTCTGAAGCCTGGACTTTCTGACAAAAATACCTCATCATGTTCATGTTGGAAAATATACCTCCACCAGTGGAGCTCCTCAAGGTCGTGTTCTCAGCCCTCCGTCATTTACTCTGTTGACACATGACTGCGTATTCAGACATGAGGGGAATCTAGTCACTACGTTCGCAGAATGCACCACATTTTAATAAAAACCTCTACCGGCTCTGAACGCAGAACTTCAATTGAATAGTTAGATCAAAGCATATTTATATGTTAGAATGGTCCAGTCAAAGTCCAGACCTGATTCCTAGTCGCATTTATCCAATCTGAGCTTGAGCTGGTTAGTAAAGAAGAATGAGTTAATATTTCCATCTCTAGATGTGTAGACATGGCAGAGAAGCTGGGAGTGAACATGATTTTATTTTCACTGGAAAAAAAACGTGATAATTTGCTCTGATCGGTTACATAAAATCCCAATAAAATGCATTGAATTTTGCTATAACATGCCAAATGTGGCAGAGTGAACGTTGTGTCTTTAATTCTACTTTCTACTTTTTGCATCAGAAAGGCTTAGAGAATTTGTTCTGGACTGCAACCGATGACCCTGAAGTGAACGCGGAGGGTCTGGAGCTGCCGGCCGATCTGAAGGAGCTTCCATTCCAGATGAACTGGAGCGCCGAGCTTCCGCCGGAGTTCAGCGTTCCCACAGTGAACCTCCACAGTCTGATCTTGGACTTTTCTGCTGTTTCCTTCGTGGACATTTCTGCGATGAAAGGACTCAAAATGGTAAAACAGCAAATCTGCCTAAATCCACATATGGATTTATGTGACTCGTTTCTCTCATCCACATGAGAAAAACAAGCTCTTTCGCTTTATATTTTAAAGTTCCACATGTTAAAGCCGTATGTTATTCTCTCTGCAGGCGCTTAAGGAGTTTACGCGAGTTGACGTGAATGTTTACATAGTTTCATGTGACGGTGAGTTCAATTCAGTCCCTTTGAGGATTTTTCTCATTGTGTAAAAAAACATGACCACCAGGCAGATGAGCAGATGGATGAAAGTTGCTGAACCTGAAAGTGACGCATAACACAAAGGCCACTTGAGACCAAAGTAAGGATAGCAAAGCCTGCGTCTCAAGTTAGAGTTTTTAAAGTGACAATTTAAGTGGTGAGTTATGCAGTTGGAGGCGGAGAGCCACAACTTAGAGATTCAACAAACCAGAACCCGACGGAGGAACTTAAAAGCACTTTGTGAAATCTGTAAACACACTTCAATCACAGCAAGTCTTGATGACGTACTATTATCCTTGCATGGCATTTACTTCCTGTTTTTACGAGAAGTTTCTGCAAAGGATTATTTGTTGCCATAAAATGCCCTTAACGTTACATATCTAGTTTGAAAAACAAAAGAGAAGCTGCTGAGGATTTGGTAAAATTGTCTGAAAACTTGAGACATGTCCATGTATTTATTGTTTACTTGTATCAACAGCCCTCATCATGGAGAAACTGCACAGCTGCATGTTCTTTGATGATGAGATTCAGACATCCATGTTCTTCCCAACTCTACATGATGCCGTGCTGGACGTGCTAGAAAAACATGAAGACAACAGCACTGACAGAGTGGTGAGAGAGAAAGAAATGCAATTTGCTGATATTATATTACTACTTGATATACCACAGAACATGTTTAAAAATAAAAATGAGTGCTATCTGCCATCTTAAAGAGAAATGCCTAGTTGAGTTTCGGGTCAAAGTATTTGGTCCACCTGGGGTCAAGCGATGTGTTGGGAGGAAGTAGCCAAATCATCCAACAGTCAACAGGGACATGGCTGCTGCGTCTGGTACCAGCATATGTCCAAATAGAACCAAGGTGGATCTATTCTGGATCAGATCCAGAATGATGAAGATAAGCAATGATGCATCGCATGATGCTATGCAATTTCAAGTTGCCAACGTCATAGAAATGTTCTCCCAAAGGAAATGTGTTATTTTTAAAAAGTATGATTTTTTTGTTTTAAAATTAAGAAAAACTTAAAACATTTTCATTTGGTTGTATATATCTGCAGAAATTGTTAAAAAAAAAATCCCAGCAAGAACATACAATTCTTAAAAAAACAAAACTCACACCTCATAATCATTCACAGCTTTGTTTTGCCAAATAAAATCCCAACCTTTTCATTTCCTGTTGTCTTTGCAGCTGAAAGACACCAAGCTGTAGAAGAACAACCTGGAAAATCAACTCATGGAAAAACCACCCAGGAATAGTTCAAGCAGCGTGTTAATATTTCAGTCCAGTCACTGACTGTTACTGCTGTACATTTGGGATTTCACTGGTCATTATAAGTCATTTCATTTCATCTCACAAGTATTTTTTTTTCTACAATTCACTGCAATAAAGTTTGAATTTTAGGTATCAGATGATACCTGGAAATATTTGAATTATTTTGTGTTATTGAACCTTCATGATCCCAGGTCAAATTTTCATTTTCAACAAGAACCTGTTCAGGAAGAATCAAACAAAATATACAATCATATTCTTATCGACTAAATATGCTGAGTACACACAAGTCAGCCGTTTTTAAAAGCAGGTGCATTTTTCACATCATATGGATCTTACTGATTTGATAAAAGTTGATATTGAAGTATTGAATGTACTAAGTTTTGTTTTTTCCAAGTCCAGCAAAACGAAACCTAATTTATGAATTTATTAAATGAGTGTTGCTGGAAATAGAGCAAAGATGGGAAGGGGTTTGGTCAATGATACTTTTATGAATTTGTATCAGTTTATTCATCTGCATGAATGGAGTAATGGCTACAAGTTCATAAATACCACAAATTGGTCAGTGAGTAATTGTGTTAAAACAGGACTAGACTAAAAAATCTCCAGTTTCATTTTTTTATTTCACTTTTTCTTTAGTTACAAATGAAAATATTTTCAAAAACTTTTAGTTCTTCCAATCATCCCTTCTATGAGTTGAGCTGTAAAACAAGCTTATAAAACAAGATGGCTGCCTTGGATGTGGTGACATCATCCAACTATGAAAACTGAATGACTGAATTAAAAAAAACAAAATCCAGATTTTCTTAAAATCAAATCTTCAAAAAAATGTATTTATCGCCCAGCATTGTTTAAATATTAAACTAGGAACCTAATACAGACGATTTCATTCAATTACCATCAAACAAACAGGAGAAAACATCAGCTGTTATGAATTTATTGAATTGCTTTAACATATGTTAATGTAGGTGACAGCAGTCGACATATACACAGATTTTTAACATGTCATTAAAAAAGCTGAAATCCGTCTTTTCTCAGGGTCTGTAATCTGTTCAGTGTGGAGCTGAGCTCAGCGTGTGGAACAGATTCCTCCCGTCACTAACGACACTCACACTAGCTATGAAAATGAAATGACACTGACTGGCAACCAGCTGGCAGCTTACTGGTAGTATGGCCTGTAGCGGCTCTGGTCTGGGTGGTGCGGCCCTGGCATCTGACCCTGGGGCGGGGGCCCCTGCATCCGGGGCGGTGGCCCTCTGGGGGCAGGCCACATGCCCGGGCTCAGACCCCCCGGCTGGCTGAAGGGGGGGCTCAGGGTGCCCTGGTCCTCAGGGAACTGCTGCATGGAGGAGGGGTTATAGTGATGTGGTGGTGGGGCGTTAACAGGGGGACCGCTGTGCTGCGGTGGAGGTCCTGGGGGCGGGTGGTTGATATAAGGGGGGATCTGGCCTATGATGTGCCCAGGTGGGGGAGTGATAGGTGGGGGAGCTGCTGACATTGGGGGTGGGGGAGCCTGGCTGTACACCATGTGTGGGGTCCCAGAGGCCTGGGCAGGATGCTGCATGGGGTGGCTGATGGGTGGCGGAGGGGGAGGAGGAGGGCCAAAGTTATGCTGCGGTGGCGCCATCATGTGGTGGGAATGTGACACCACAGGTGGTTGACCGGGGTAGTCCCCCGGGTGGTGGTGGGGGGGCTGGCCGGGGCCGGGCCCCGCGGGGTGGGGGTCCCGGGACGATGAGTCATCGTGGATGGGCACCGTGATGAGGTTGCTATGTTTGCGGGTGGTGACCGTGGAGATGCGGAAGGTCTCAGGCCCCAGTGGGGACGGGGGCGGCGGGCCGTCGTGGGGACTGGGTGGGGGTGGCTGGCTGTAGGGCGGCAGCGGCGCCGGCAGGTGGATGTGGCTCTTCGGGATGTGGGGCGGCGGCACGCGGAAGCGCTCCGGCACGTCGGGCGGCGCCAGGTGGACGGGGTCCTGGCGAGACGACTTGGACGCCCTCATGTGGCGGTGGTTGACATGCGCCTGCAGGTCGCGCTGGGACAGGTAGGTGCGCTTACATCCCGACACGATGCTGCACATGAAGAGCGAGCCGCGCTGGCACTGCTCGATGCGCTGCACCGGCTCCGTGCAGCTGTACATGTTCAGCCTGGGAACACACACACACACACACACACACACACACACACACACACACACACACACACACACACACACACACACACACACACACACACACACACACACAGCAGACATGAGCAACATCACTCAGGCCAGGGACTTGACTCATCTGTCAGGAAACGGCGCCTCACCCTGGACACATCTTCTCTCCTTTCTTCTCGTGCAGCAGAGCGCAGTCATAGCAGAAGACATGCTTACAGGGAATCTGAGACGTTAGAGAGGAGAGTCACAACTGACAACTCATTCATTTCAATCTATTCAAAATATAGAACTATTATTATTATCAACCCCAGAGTGGTCGATTTTAAATGGTTTTTACTATTCAGACTCCAGCTACCAAGCCTAACAATAAAAAGTTGACTGGACAATACGATGAATAACTTACACCAGCGTTCCATATCAGTCGATGTTATTGTTTTTTTATTACAGGAAATAATATTAGCTACCATGACTATGCGGATGACACACAGTGACTCTGAACCCATCCAATCACTGAATAAATATTTAGAACAGATAAATGTGTGGATGTACCAAAACTTTCTCCAGCTGAACAGAAACAAAACTGAAGTCATCATAATGATCTAAAGCCAATGCACAGCTTCTGTTATTACAACTAAAAACTAGCGATCAGCCCGAAACCTGGGAGTAGTGATGGACTTGGACCTGAACCTTGCGAGCCACATAAAGACAGTTACAAAGTCGGCCTTCTATCACCTGAAGAACATCTCCAGGATTAGAGGACTAATGTCTCAGCCAGATCTAGAGAAACTCATCCATGCGTTTATCTTTTGTTGCATTGATTATTGTAACAGCGTCTTCACAGGCCTGTCCAACAAATCAATTAAACAGCTGCAGCTGATCCAGAATGCTGCTGCTTGTGTTCTCACTAAAACCAGGACGATAGAGACATAACAGCAGTTTTAAAGTCCCTCCACTGGCTCCCTGTAGCTCAAAGAATAGATTTTAAAATACTGTTGTTAGTTTACAAATCACTGAACGGTTTAGCACCACAATACATCAAAGATCTGCTGCTGTTATATCAACTTCCAGACTCTCAGGTTCTGGTTCTGCTCTGCATCCCCAGAACCAAGAGAGGAGAAGCAGCTTTCAGCATCTATGGACCAAAAATTTGGAACAAACTTCCAGAAAACTGTAAAACAGCAGAAACCCTGACTTCCTTTAAATCTCAACTAAAAACACACCTGTTTAGAATTATATTTGAAATGTAATATGTAACAATGTATTGTTTATTCTATGTTGCATGACTTTGTGTTTATGATGTAAAGCACTTTGAAATGCCTTGCTGCTGAAATGTGCTATACTAATAAAATTTGATTTCATTTTGATTTGATTTATGTTGCATACCATCCGTCCGTACAGCTGAATGGGGAGACCGCATTTATCACAGAAGTGGATCGGGACTCCATCTCTTTCACCGACCAAGTTCAACTGTTCGCAAAATGACAAACATGGGAAAATGAGCTTTAGTATCACATTATATGATCAATGTTATAACTGGTCTAAAGGCAGCGCACCTTATAGTCCCAAAAAAGCGGCTGTGGAAATCTCCTCTGACTCCCGAACACATCGCCAGCTTTAGTGCAACAGTCAAAGCGCTCCTCTTGCTTGAAGTTGTATTTATCTGTCAGATTTTAGAGAGAGAGAGAATGAAGCAGAGTTGACAGACTGGGAGAGCAACTATAAAACTCTCCTGTTGTAATTTTGGTCCACATAACATAAACCGGAACGGCAAGAATTATCAACAAGTCATATCAAAACAGAGAAGAAGTGAGCAAATTTTAGCCTAGCATCTCGGCCAACAACTGGTACCAACAATCCAATCTCCAAACTTTGTCACGTTAAAGGCAATCTTCACAGCTTTTCAATTAGATATTATGAGATTAGGATATGTTTGGAAATTTTATCCAAAGAGGGTTGCTACTCAGTTTTGCAAGCAAAATTTCCATCCTTTTCCAGACTTAAATTTCTAAAGGACAGAACAAAGAAAGGAATGTAGGAAGACACAACATTAAAATAGATTGTAAAGTCTCTAAAATCAGATATCTTTCAATCATCCATATTTATCCTGGCACTGCAAATACAGAATTTAAATTTTGCAATTTTTCAGACCTCTCCAGAATGCACAGAAACCTTTAACAGAAATAAAATCTTTTCCATTCACAATCAAAACCCCTGGTTACTAATGGTGTTGGGAAGTGCTGCATGGAGCATGTAGCTCACCAATAGGCAACTGATATGAGAAACAACTCAATAAAAACTACATCTGCAATCATCTATGGTGACAATGATCAAACTGTGCAGATTATCTTTTGCACTTTTACAAAGTAAACTTCCCAATTCGTTCAAATCTTGAATTTAAATGCACAACAATTTCAACAATTTAAAATCTTTTCATTCATCTCCGCTGAACCTATTAAATCAGACCTAATAGTATTCTCAATGAACAACTATTACAACTCTCGACCTGTGGTCTGTGTTGAAACTCAACGGTTTACAGGGCGCCCAGAGTGTCTGCGGTGTTGGCTCATGCCTTGGGCCGGCTCTGCTTACCATCCTCTCCAGTTTCAGGTTTACAGGGTCTGATGCCGGGTCTCTGGATGCGGGGCGGAGGTTTGCTCCTGAGGGGTTGCTTGGACAGCAGCTTAATGGGAATCCGTCTGCGAACGTCCAGGTCACTCAGACTCCCCGAGCCGTCGCCGCCTGGGAGGTCATTTTCTGCTGATGATGAAGGAAAGGAAGATGAGCAGAAAGAATCAGAAACTCATGCAAACGAGTTTCTGGGGATATGACTGTCATACAGTAAAATTCAAACAAAAATATAACATGACATAGGTTTTGGTTATACAAGATGAGAAGGAGAGAAAGAAGAAAATAAGGAAATTTCACAATTAATTGTCGTGACAATACTTTCATATAATACTCCAACTAAGTCAATTTTTTCTCACATCGTACAGTCCTAGAGGAATCGTCATTCAAAATGCAACAGGCCTTCTGAAGGACAGCATACAGACATTTAGTAAACACTCTGAGTGACAACACTCTTTGGAATGGAAGTTGTTCATGAGTGAAGATGACTCAGTTTGTTCAGTATTAGTGAGGTTTTATACTGATTTTAATTCATTTTAATGCCTTTGGCACTAAAATGAATTAGTGCTGAATGTCTAGGAAACTTCTAGAAAGATAATTGTTAGATGTACATGTTTTTTAAATCCGCAGTTAATGTTGTGTAAAATGTGTAATCACATCATCTTTGTTTAAAGAAAGATAGAGAAATATTTGGTATCTATATGTGACATCAACTCTGGTCCCAATATAAATTTATATAAAAAAATGATTCTTTGTAGTTGCAAAGAAATATTGGGATCCATCAAGTATTTTTGAATTTAAATTAAATGCTTTCACTATGCAACATCACAGTACGTTTTAGAAAAAAATAAATAAAACACAGGGGTTTATTTTTATTTTCTTTTTGATACCTTCTTGAAATTATGTGCTACTTTGTGTTTGTTCTAATTTCAAATTAGTGTGAACTTCAAGATTTATGTGACTGTATAAAAATATTAAAGGTAGCTTGTTTATATATGACCACTGTAATAAAAGTGGACAAATATTAGAATTATTATTATACAACTATATCCGAATAGTAATAATAATTGTTTAAATTAAGCCAAACATGCAAGACCACTACAGTTAATAATTGTGCAGTGGATTAATACGTTTGGTAACTGCGTTACGTTCATCTTATTCAAGTCGAAATGAATTTTAAAAGCACTTTATCATTCTTTTTAATCTGGCATCAATGTAACTACCACGGCGGCTTGGTACAACGACCGCATAGATTACCAATTGATGTGCAACACCGACAGCTTCACATTTAGTGTTAGAATATAACCACAGAAAACAGACCACTCGAAATGATTTGACTGTGTAAAACAAATAACACGACTCAACTATAGTGCAGGGGACAAGTTAGTTTAGCGTGGACGATTAGCCACATCAGCTAACATTGATCAGGTAGCATTAGCGGCCTAACTCTGTCGGAACCAATTTAACTCCAACTATCGTGCGAACATAAGTCACCAGTGTGAAGGATGGTAATTAAGCAAGGCGCTGTCTAATATAACAGGAAACTATACAGGCTGTCAGTCTGAACGCTAACTCTGCGTCAGTATAATGTTGCACTGTGCCTGACTGTCTCTGAGCATTTTTAGCTTCCTGTAATCATGCAACAGAGCAGTAAGAGGCAACGATACGTCTCAGGACAGCAATGTCTTAAATTGCGCTTTGTTTTAGCCCAGAAATGCACTATGGAGAAATAAAACGGTTCAAATAAAGACAAAAAACAAACTTTGTTAACAGCGGCTCGGGCTAGCAGTTTGCTTACCGCCTTGGTCCATGATCCAACCAGAGAACGCAATGCATTATGGGACTGGCGGAGAGGAAATGGAATGAAAGGAAGAACACAAAAAATGATATAAAAGTATTTTTTATTCAGATGCAAAATATGTAACGATATGCGGTAAATAACACTGCAGGTTTACAGAAATGATTTTTAAAGAAATGTAGTACGGTCAATAAAACATAGCGACTGAGACAGAAGAAAAACAATAAATAAAATATTAATCAAAACAAATAAAAAGTATGGAGAACAAGATAATATATAGAGACATCAATAATGAAGCTGCAGTTCAGCACACAGAACCATATCAGGGATATCCACACCCCTGAATTGACGAATTAATCCCATTAATTTTAACGAATTAATGGGAATACCGTATGCTGCCACAAGATGGCAGTCATGCGTAGCAAACCAGCCAACAGTTGCGCAGGTTTGATGTAAACCAACGATAATTTTGAAAAACCAAACAATAACCGGGTTGGCTTTTTAACCTCTTCAGCATATTGAACATTAAAAATACAGCATCATCTCTTTTTTGGCTGATCATTGTAAAGCTGCCATAAACAGTTCATAATCACTAACTGAACTTTTATTAGAGAACAGAAGGCAAGAAGAGAAAGGACGAGATGCAGCTGTGTCTTGTCTTGGTTGTTCAACTGGGGGTCGTGCTCCCACACAGGGCTTCTTGTGTTGTGAACCAGTGTTTTTCTGAGCTTTTGATTGTGTGACATTTATTGGTTCGAGGGATGAATGCAGGCAACATTTTCCGGAGTCTCTTTCCTGGCATGAAACAAGCTGGATTTCAAAGCAGGGGAGGCAGAGGAGAGGTCAGAAAGCAGAGCACTGGGTATGATTCGATCGCTGGTGAGATCTTCATCCAATCAGCGATGAGCAAAACGTCTGTCTTGAACCTGCTTGGATCATCTGAGCAATTTGTAAATCATCAAAGTTTTGATGGTTATGGGGATTTTAAGAAAGATCTTTTCAGTTAGATTAGATTATAAGACATTGTTTATTGTAATTTTACAGAATGATGCAGAAGCAAGAATCTAAGCAACACATTGAAGGACATATGAGATGGCTAAGATGTGTACTCACAAGAACGTTTGATTAGAATACATAAACGGTAAAATTCTTCTGAAATAGTAGGAAGTACCTTATTAAAAAAATAAACGGAGGTATGGCTGCTCTTCAGACTAGTTGGACCTCAGCTGAGGAAGCAGGCTGAGAATCTTTTTCGGTCAGAATATTTTCTGTCCTAGTTTTTAGTGGTGAAAACAAATCGTTATGAAAGCAAAATTCAGACAGAACAGAAATTTGCATACCAAATCAATTAACTGTTCTGACTAAAAGGTGGAATGTTTGTCAAAGATTATTTATTGAATGTTCCATGAGAACAATATTAAACCCAACTATTCACAGGATTCGTTGTTAATTAACCCGGAACTTTAGCTTTTGAATAAAACTAAAGATGAACGAATGAATCAATAAAATCTACGAAAGAATTTAACGAAATTCTTTCATAGAGCTAAGAAATAAATGCCAGTGCAAGTATGTTGTTATAAATAGAGGCATTCTTGTGATTATGAGAAATATGTTCTGGTTGAAACAAATGTTGTGTAAAATGTTGGCACATCAGATGTTAGAGTTGTCCAGAAGAAACAGAGTCAAATTTTAAAAAAAAGTTGTAATCTGACATCAGAATGTATTTTTACACTGTAGAAACCTAAAATACTACCAACCGTTTTTGTCTAATTTCTGGCTCAAATATGTTATTACACTTAAAAAAGACACAACTAACTAAAGTAACTTTTCACCAACTTGTTTCTTGTCAATAATTCTTGAATATTAATAAAACATACTAATTCCATTGGTTTTCACTTAATTTGGACAAATGTCTTGTTTTGTATATTTGTTTTTAACTTGTGTTAGCAAGATATGAAACTCATCTGTTTACTAGAAAATGCCTTGCATCTATCTCATTGTGATGGCAAACAATCTATTTCCGAGCTCTGGTAGTGTTATGCTTCCATACTAATCATCATATATTTTGTTTGGTGACATGGAAAAAAAGAAAAAAACAACATATTTTCAGCTGTAGATGGAGCTCTGAAGATTTCACACAAAGTCACGACAACATCTTGGCTGTTTTTCTGCTACTGTTTATTGAACTTGTTCAGTACTGGAGTTTCACGGAGCAAACAACGGCCACAACACTGTGTCACAGGTTCTCTCTTTGGGTACAACAAACTTACACAAAGTTCAAATTATTCTTCTACAAAATGGGACTAAAGCAGACATGGACTGTTTTTCTCTTTTCCCAGGCAACCATAGAAACGCCACCCCGTCAACACACACACTGCACATAGACTTCTACCACTCTCATCCATACAACATGCATACGCCCATCCAGGGTGGGATACATTCTCCAATTTATTGAGCTGTTATTTTTGACATTTTTGGATCCCTTTTTTTCACCACTTTCCATGAAACAGTGCTCATCTCTACATACACAAAGAGGCCTGACTATCAGTCTGCGGCTGCTTTGTTAGCAAGACCTGGAGCAGGAACTTAAGCCAAGCACTAACTGAATCATTACATTTATAAGCTACATTACCTAACGGAGAACTTATTAGCCAGTGGTAGAAAAATGACTTTGGGTTTGGTGTTTTTTTTTCTTTTTTCTTTTGCTAAAATCCCATATTTCGGATTTCAAGCCAAAACTAAGTCCACTCAGTGAAACACCCGTGTGGAACCATAGTTGTGGTTCTGAATGCTTCAGACGATTAACTTTAACAGTTTCCCATGACCACAAAGTGTTTTGCAAAGCCCAAGCTTTCAGATTAATTTCCTACCTCCCAGTCATCAGCTTCGCTTTAGTACGCTCTGTAACAACTGGCAGAGTCTTAAAAGTGCATCATTCCTTTTTGTGCGTGTGTGTGGATCCTGAACTTGAATTCAGATCATCATTAATTAAAATGGGTTTTTTTTTTTGTGGACAAATGCAGGAATTCTGGTCGGGCGGTATGTGCCAAACAGTCAATCAAGGTATTTGGTTGTGAAACCTGGACTGAAATGAGCGGGTGGAAGCCAGGGCTTTAAGAAAGTAACCAGAGTAACAAGAGCAACAGAGCATACACACACTGGGGTGTTTATCTTCATTCCCCCCAAAATATTCACTACATTTGTTCCTTGTCGGGTTGGACCTCGGGGTGTAACAGTACAGTCGGCTGACAAGACGTGACGCACGGTCTACGGGACAAGTCTACGTTTGACTTCCCTCCCAATGCCAAAAGAAAAAATAGAATCCTGCTTTTTTGCCGTTTCACAAACAGAGAAAACCGTTGATAATGTTTAATTAGATCATGTTTAATTAGATCTGCGTTTGGATTCAAGAACTGTCCCCTGATTAACTTCAGATTTTAAAGCATAGACAGTTGAATGCAATGCAAATTCCTTCAAATTCATAATTTCTCTTCACTGAAGGTGTGAGTCACGTTAGCTCCAGCGCCTTCTGTGCTTCATAAAAATACTAAAGACATCTTGTTTTTTATGTCCTCACAAAAAGTACAGCAAGAATATAAAAAATAATACCACAAGTTGCGTTTTAGAGTCTGTAAGCAGTTTTGAAGTAAGTTGTTGATTTTCCAGCAGCAAATTTGAAGCTGCAGTAAAAATTAAAAATGACTAAGACCCTCCATTAAACACAAGTAACACACAGCTTTATTTCATGTTGGTGTTCTATGTGGATCTGCTCTGGCCATCATCTCCCTGCGCAGTTCTGCTTGGTTCTCATCTCCTGCCGCGACTCTGCCTGCGATTCGTCCCATAGAGATGGATTTCTGTGGCAGAATTCCAACCAGGCCAATCAGAGAACAGACGAAGTCGTGAACGATGACGTCGAATAAATTCAATCAATAAGCAACAATACGTTTTTCAGCTTGTTTTGTTATTGTACATTGTGATTTAAAACAAGCCAACATCTGCATTCTGTGCACATGACTCAGGGACCTCGACATAAAAAACCCCATTTTCTTTTGCTGTTTGTTTTTGCGAGGGATTTTATTCCCCCCTTTAAAATAAATTAAAACAAACCAAACATTTGGCTTCTTTCTTTTTCCTGTTTTTACCAAACATACACCAAGCCGCAGCCCAGAAACCGTGGTATGTGCCCAGCAGTGATGCTAGTATTGTTACACTCCTGATATGTTTGTCTTTCAGTCGTATTAAGTACAAGCCACAATTGCCTCCGACCCAAAGGTCCATGTAAAGGACTGGGACCGGGAAGGCTGCTGAATCTGTCAAAGCACTAGTTTGATTTCACGAGGTTAATGCAGAGGATTCTGAAGAATTTGGTCTTTGACGATTACTGCAGGGTGAAACTTGACTCCTAATATTACGGTGTGGGAGAGGTGAGAAGCACGAGGCATTTCCACTCAGTTTGCCATGTTTACAGACGGGACAGTGTCAATACGGCTGGATTTAGTGAAAAAATAAACCTCTGAACTTCAACTGGAAAAACAAGCAAATCTGTTGGGACCAAAATGTGATAAAATGATGATAAGATACGACATATAAAAGCTCCTCTAGCCTAGTTCTATAGGTGTGGACATTTTTTAGCTAACACTTTGCTAAAGCACCTCATTATCCAATTCCTCAGGTGATATAAATGAAGAAACATGAGGAACCTGAAGTAAAGTTTCCTGATTTTTGCCAATTTTCCAGTCAATTGGTAGAAAATGCTAAAAATAATCTCCATTTTACAAATGTACCAGAAAAGCCCACAGTATTATTTACCTTTTTGGAGTGAAAATGTAATTTCCACCTCACAATTTCCTGCTTATTTTTTTTTTCTCATTTCCCAAAACTATTTCAGATAAGCAAACAACTACTAGAATGAGACATAACTGACCCGATTTAAACACGTCTGTTTTCAGAGGATGATTCCATTTGTCAATGGACTTCCTTAATCTCAGTGGGGCTTTTCCTGGTTAAATAAAGGTCGTTTGAGCTCAGCACGTTATCGCTCCAAAACTTTAATTTTCTGTTTCGTTCAGATGGACATTCTTGTGTGTTTTGGATCATTTTCCTTCGGTACATTAAATGTGTTTGGGCTGAAGGTCACAAACTGATGGCCAGACATTCTCCTTCACAATTTTCTAATAGGAATTGCAGAAGCCAGCCAATAGACCAGATTTCATTGTTTCTTCACGGCGAGTCATTCGGGCTGTGAAGCAGCAAAGCAGCCTCGTTTGTGGCTCTCTGGCTGATTTAGTGACGGCTTGGACCAGAATACAAGAATGCTGAGTTTAGTTTGCCAGCCCAGGCGGTTGATCCAGATTCATGTTTAGGAAAATGTTAAGGGGCAATTTACACAGACATGATGCCTTTCAAAAAATATACAGACATATTAAAGTCTTCAGAAAAAAGCAAGGTTCAACTCAAAGACTTACTTTTTCATCAGCCAGGTGTTTTGTTTTAATTCAGTTTGATGGGATATGGGACTTTAAACATCCAGTGGCTTTAGTCAAAAAGTAGACCTGGGAGCACTGAGTCATATCTATATGTATACTCTGTTGTTGCTGAAAATACACACGCACACACACACACACACACACACACACACACACACACACACACACACACACACACACACACACACACACACACATGCACGCTAACAAATTTAGACAAAGATAATCAACCTGAACATTTTGGGACATTGTATACTGTTATTGCTGTTTGACCAGGCAAATTTTGTGAAGTCATTTTTTTTTCATATATATTATAATTTACAGATTGCTTTTCTGGCAAAGTCAGACAGCTTTGCTTGGTTCATTCAAACATTGCGTGTTTAGATGATCGTTCAGCTCAGGTGAAATGAAGTAAAACTTTTTTTCTTTTTACACTTTTAATAAAAAATAAAAATAAACATTTTTGTGGCCCCTGAGTACTTTCAACTTGACATATTTGGCCACAATGACAACATGTTTGGACACGACTGGTGTACACATTTCTTTGTTTGTTTGGATTGTAAAGTGTAAACTTGGATTTTTTAGTTATTTTTCTCTTTTGGATAACCCAGCCTGGTACTTTATCAAATGTTTGGAGACATCTGTTAAAATGAGTCACAGATAGAACAAAACTGGTCATTGCTTCTAACAAAAACTGTAATGATGGCAAAAGAATTACATATCCAATGATGGGACTGTGTTTCTGTATATTCAGCCTACTAAATGGGAAAGGGACATTTTCCATACTAGCCATACAGTCATTGGAAAAACCTAAGTACACGCTTGATGTTTCTGTAGGATTTCAAAGGGAAGTAACTCTTGGACATTGCCAATCAAAAACCATGTGTGAGTTTCACTACATCAACTTCTACCAACAGAGGTACTTTGGCAGATGGACAGCCTGGAGCGTATGGTCTGTGTTTACATGGAGCCATGATGGAAAGGCATCAGGAATAACTTTAGGGAAGCCACCGCCACCACTCGTTTATCAAAAGAGCACTGTAAGAGCAACCAAGGACCGTCATTCAGTCGTGGAAAATATTTAGGAGCGTTTCCAGTCTTCCTAGGGACTCAGTTAGCAAATGAAATGTTACAGTTCATGGAGACACAATTGGACCACAGGATCTTTCCATGTTTTAGTCACAGAGTTCACAATAAACTCCTCCATACCCCAAACTATCGTAGAGTCCAATGCAGTCATCTGTCTGATAGTTAGGCTAAATAAGCTAAGCTAGACTAAGCTAATTAGACAAACGAAATGAGTTCAGCTGTGTGTCCACGTGGAGCTGTTTCTTTTGATACGATGATATCGTAGCTCTATCTCTCAATGTATCCCGAATGCACTTTTCTTTCACAAATAAAAACTTTCACCAATAAACATGGCACCGTTCGCTGTTGTTTGGCATTCTTCGCATTGTTCTGTGACACTGTTACAGCACCACCGACTGGCACGGCAGAGGTACTACAGCGTCTTCTGTTGTGCTAGATCACCGGCCGTGTGGATGAGCATTTTTTTTCTCAATCGTTTACCAAAACTGACCATGTTTGCAATGACACAATTCCCCTACAATTGTAGTACGGATTGATGAAAACAATACTGAAGACGACATCTAATCACGATTGCAACTAACAGTCTTTCAACAATTATTTAGTTTTTCCTACAAATGTAGAGTCTCTGGCTGAGTGGAAGCTGTGTTAGCTAACAAGCTTTCAGATGCTAAAGACAGGGGGGCTAGCATAACAGGAAACACAGCTATCGTACTTATCACCACCAAATGTGGTACACTTGAAAACAACACAAAAAAAGCTAACACAAAAAAAAATTATTGTTTTTTTCTCCCCAACATTTCAAAGTAGAAAATTCAAGTGCAATTAATGTTCCAAATATTAGTTAAATCACATACATTTCTCTCTAAAGTAACACTTTGTCGCTTCTAGGTAGTTTATCTCTTCTTGTTATATATATATTTTTATTTTCATAAAAAGAAAAAACAAATTGGTGTTGTCTGTTCATGTGCTAAGATGGATGAAGCACAGGCTAAGGTGGAATTGCTGGGATGTAATTAATTCATTTGTCACATTTAAGTACTTTAAGCGCATCGGCTCATCAGCCCAAAGTGTTGAATGCTGTAGGAAAACACCTGTGCACTCTCGTTGTGGGTCAGTTCATAATGACGCATCATGACTCTATGACTGGATGTGTCCGTCATTGTTCAGACATATCCCAACATTCGGAAACAAGACAGAGCAAAGCATTGCTAATACTAAACGACTGTGGAGGAGTTTGGAGGTAGAGGGCAAAAACGTCAGAAAATAAAGATTAATGGACACAGCAGCAGCTGATATTGGTTAGCTAATACAAGCCTGTTGTTATTGCTAATAATTCAGTATCAATATTATTCTATTAGAACCACTCTATAGTAAAACAGACCGTATAATAAAAGCTTAATTACATATTTCAAAGAGACCGTGACAATGCTTAAAGGGATAGCTTGGATTTTTTTCTTTTGAAGATATTGCAAATGTTATTACTCTTACCCATGATAGTTACAGTGATAAGAATATGTCATATTGCAGTGAGTTTGAAAGAAATAACTACGAAAGACTAATAGCTTCCCAGATGGAGCCCATGTTTAAGCTGTTTAAAAATATTCATATCTCATTGAGTACAATGCCATGTTAGTGAATATTAACCTTTCACACTTTCTTTGTTAGGTCTAACAGGTATAGACCTATAGCTAAAGTTACATAGGATCAGACTGTATCAATCCACCAAATCAGTTGATCATGTCAGCAAGAGTAATAAGTACCCCAAAATGACGACACCTGGAAGAGCACAGATCTAAAATGCTTAAATTTGTTTTTGAGAAAATCCATTGGGAAATACAGATAAATATAAAAGATTTTAAATTATTAGAATTAAACGTAAGATTTAAAGGGATCTGCAAATTCACTTTGTAATATCTAAATGATTATCTTTTTTTATTGTTGTTGTTTTAACACAGACACAATTTGATGCCATGCACTAATACTTAGTAAGTAGTAACCATAATTACCTTTAGTAATTAGTTCAGATAGTTAGACTTGAGCCCCTCTTCCAAGAGTAAATGGATGTAGAACAAATGGAAAATAACAACTAACAGAGCAAAACTAATACAGCATCAATCTGAAATAGCCTATTTAAACTTTAAAGTACTTAGACAGAAGCAGTACTAAACAGCAACAAACCAAACAACAGCCTTTTTGGAAATGTAGACTCTTAGTATTGGGTTCTGTAATGTTTAAAGGAATAGTTTCAATTTGAGTTGTTGTCTCACAGATATTCCAGAGCTGTAAGCCTTCTCCAAGAAATAATTCACAAAGTAACACAATCTCCATTACTTGCCATGATTTTCACTGACTAACTGGATTCACAAAGCAGTTTGCACTAAATACATGCAACTGACTGAGAAATTATCCCTTTTTTTATCTTATCAGCAGGCAGTTCTTATCATTTTAATTAAAGGAGAACTCTAGGTTGTGACCCGACAAGACAAAACTTCAGCAACATTTGTCTGGAGGAACAAGTCACAGTGGTGTTTTCACATCAAGACGTTATAGTAAAAAAAAGTGAAGTATGCATTCCTTTAATTGATTCATTTGATCATCGTAATATTTCATATGTATTCCATGCAAATATACTACACATGTATTGTAACTATAAATGTGAGAATAAGAAAGAAAGGCTTGTGCGTAAATACGACTTGCCACTTTCCACCTTAATAAAAATAAAAAGAGCAGATATTTCAGTATTTCAGGGTACCAAACAGTTGCTCTGGTTGCAAATGAGAGAAATATGTATAAATATGAGAAGGTTTTCCCTTAATGCATTCATAATGGCTCAACTAAATGTGTGTAAACTGCTTCAGAGATGATCAGCGTCTCCCTGACACTGACCAAACAGGTGTGATTTTGCAGAATTAAAGGCTCTCACATACTCTTGCTTGCAAGCATTTACCATTTGCAAATGGGTTTCTTTCGTTTTCCACCAACTCATTGCAATCTGACATCCATCTACTCCAGGAAAGCTGTTACTTTTCTCACAGAATGTCATTTCAAAAATCCAAGCTATCCCCTCTCAGTAACTTTACAACTGTACAACCTTTCAATGCGACATCTTTAGCCACGAGCCAAAGCCAAAGAACACCTTCCACAGCATAAACACAGCACAAGGAAGAAACAGCTAGCATGACTGCAATGGATGAAACTATCATTATTTGCAGAAACCTAAAGGTGGTCATAAAAACATATTTATGATCCAAACTATGCTATAGCTTCTAATTTACACATTTTCTCTTTGTTTGAAAACCATGGATTATTTTCCTTTCACTTCAGAATTATGTGCTTCTCTGTGTTAGCTTTTTACACAAAATGCTGACGTGCTAAAACGAAGGGCAAAGGGTGTGAATATTTTTGCTAAAAACTGCCTTTAGTAAAATCTCTATATATATTTTTTAAATCAACGTTTCTCTCACCAGTGTGGAAGAGACATGGCAGACGTATAACGTAATAATTATACTCGTGTAAATCAATATCTACTTTACAAAATTCTTGGCCACCAATTTCCTTTTGTCTCCTGTTTATGTAGGCTAGCATATTGAGTAAATTGTTGTAAGGGTTGTTTCTATTGGACAATAACTTTTAGCTAGCGAGCTAGCTAAACTAACTAGCCAGCAAAGTAGCTAGCGAGCTATCTTGATCAAACTATCAGATCAAAACAAGCACATAAATTAATCAACAGTTCATCGGTATTTGTGGAATAAAGATCATTTTAGACGTAGCAAGATGATCTTACTCAGATCAGCTGTTGAGTACACTATCACAACATTTAGCTTCATTAACACTGTGCTTTCCATCTGTAGGACATTAATTAAAACTATGGATGTTTTTACATTGGTGTATTCAGGGTTATAACTCTCTTTGCTGAAATATAAGGAACAAATATATTACAAAATTAAATACTAATGCAAATTTCTACAACACAATAATTACTGGCCTCCAAAAACCTATACTTGTCAAACTTTGGATGTTTAAGTGTACAGTTACTATAAAGGGTGGGGTTTACAGTTCTGTATTCAAGACGTTGAAAGGCATCATGTGACAACAGAGATCGAGGACAGGTACAGAAAATCAGGATTTTTTTTGCCACAAATTCGGCAAAATCCTGAATGCGGGCAGAAGGTGATGAGGGATTCAGTGTTACATGAAGGCCGGAGGGTTTGGAATGACGCAGGATCACAAGGGTCTAACAAGAAAGTGCAAGAAGATTTTCAGTCTAGCTGTATGGTCGCAGGAACCTGGTCACTTTGGACCGCAGCAGCTTGATGAAGGAGCGAGGGAACATCTCTTTGGACTCTGCACTTGTGTACTTAAAGTAATTCTGGGGGTGGGCGAGTACGTCAAACAGGGCTTTTATTAACTTCTTGTCCTGTCAAACAAAAGAGGCATAAACCATAAAAACTGCTGCATGTGGAAAATTAGACAATAGAAGGAAAGCTTTGCATCATCTTTTCAGTACCTTGAGTATCTCCTGGTGGTTCTCAGATGCATAAAGTCTACCATCTCGCACTATGTCTTCTATCAGCTGTTGGTAGTCCTCTGCAACATGAAAGAATCAAAGGGAAACAGGTCAAATAGAGACTTTACCAGCTGAGTTGAAGAAGAAAGAAAACCAAAAGATCTTTCACTGGGGTGTTAAAGCCAACAATGCTAAAGCGGCTACAAACTCACCGTCATAGGTGACATATGGAACTTGGAAGCCTTTGCCACTGTTCCCCTCGTTCGACTTAAACTGGATCCAAAGTCTGCGAGAGCGAGAAGTAAAGGCTATGGGTCGCTCATAGGTCTGACACGTCTCGTAGGTTGTGATGGAAGTGGGCACCGCTAGAGAAACAGCACAGAAACATTCAAGTCTGTTGGCTTTTGTTACAGTAGCATCTTTAACAAAACACCTTGGGCTGGGATATAGATTCTTTTTTCCCAGTATCTGTGTTTTCTGATACCAATATGGTATCTGTGGTTGAAGTGCCTCTTAGATGCCAACCAAGGCGGGTACAACCCAGGGTTGCTTGGGATAAGTTCACACTGTGCAACTTCAAAATCCTTCAGGACTTCAACGTGACCCAGACTGTATGATCTGTTCTAACAACAGAATCATATCAAAAAGGTCCAACAGAAGGACAGTAGATGGACATTGGCTTGCCTATAGAGATAAGTTAAAACATGCATTTGTTGTTGAACGCAGCTATCCTAAACCCAAAAACCACATTCCAGTCCTCGTGAGATAAGATATCTAGATAGAAAAATAGTTGAGTCTTTTAATTAGCAGGAAATTGAATCGTGAATGATTTGAGTTTGATGTGGTCCCAGTTGAGTCCATGTATCCAGTTTATGTCCATTGGATTTATAGGATCTGGGTTAGGAAACTTGGACTTGTGATTCCTAATTCAGTATGACAACCAGGTGTATCAGCATCTTATGAGTGTTGTTATGAATGTTATTTTTGCATGCTATTGGGGTAATCACATGCTGGACACTGGGGAAGTGCTGATAGCTAAGCAGAAGAGCTGAGCTACTTTCTGTCACTTATGTTAGTCATAGGTTGCCTTCAGCTGTTAGAATCTGCCAAAGGTTTGCTGCTTTTACCACAGATCACAAATTGAAACTCACAACCAGAGATTTTCTTATGATTCTTCATGATGAAACATTGTCATAGATGGCCAGTAAATCACACAGTGTGAACTCAACTCTTTGTAAGTGTGTTTTGGTTTTCAGTTCGAGGATGGACTGTGCCACCAGATGGTATTTTCCAGAACACACAAAAACACAGCACCACTGGAATAGATTGAGACATTGGACAGGTTGTGCTGGAGAGTGCCAAGACAGAATGGATCACTGAACTTTAGCCAAGGAAAGTCAAGGTGATGCAAGTTGGACATTATTGATGAGGCATCCCATGCTACATGAGGCGCCATGCCTCATTTGGTTCTGCAATGCCGGTTTGATTTTTGAATGCTTGCATGTGTGCAGGACATCGCCTTCTGATGAGACTGTTTTGTGGAAGCGGCTCAAGCATTAGAATGAATTGTTTGACCTGAGTTTGTAAAGATGTGGATCAACTTTTTATTGCATCTTTTAACTGTTTCTCTATTTACCACTCTTTCTCATGACCAGCACATCTCCACACTCATCTTCAATGGGAAGGAAGATCTCTGGCACCACAATGAGGATTCGTCTTTTGTGCGGTGGGATTATGGTCCAGACACAGTCCACATTGGATGGGTAATCTCCAGGGTAGTTTGGAGACTCAATGTAGCCGGTAAAATCTCCCAGTTCCCCTCCGCACATCTGGTCTGAGGAGAGATTTAATCAAAACAACTTTGAAGTAATACTTATTCTAGTACTGTGATGTATAGAACAAAAACATCTTGACTCCCAAGAACAATATTTGAAACATAAGTCTTAAATAAAACATAACATTACTTTTGCAGTGAGACACATTGGTGACACCGTCAAAGTCGGTCGTGGTGTTCCCAGGACAGTTGATGCAGTAGTTCTGGCCAAACTCAGACTGGTATGTCCCCGCAGGGCAGCGGATGCAACGGTGGGTACTGGAGTTGTAATAGTGTCCAGGAGCGCAGTGCACTGAAAAAGCAATGGCAGACAGATCATGGATTATGATACAGTAAACACATAAGCATCGAACCATACAGGTCGAAAAACATTCTGATCACCTGCCAAAGCAATCCTCAGCCTGAAGGTGTACAAAATGTTATCTGTTGATGCTTTTAGTCAGGTCTGTGAAACCAGGAAGCGGACTCAGCCCCTCTTTTGTCAACAGTTACCTTCAAGAACAGTTGCTGACAATTAACCGTGTGCGTCATCACCTCAAAGTTTCCCCGATTCCCTGGAACCCAATGAACCCAACATCAAAGACTGGACCTCAGTGCGTGTCCAGCTTGTGCTGAAGCAGAAAGGTATTCCACTGGGCAACAAATCAACCTTGCACCCCATCAAATACATAAACAAACTCCTACCTTCCTGTTGTTCCATGACATATTCTCCATGTCATGTCCTTCATCATACTATTCATGCTCATACTTTCACTCAGAACCAACTTTATCCCCACGTTCTGCAGACTTTTTCTTTTTTTCTTAATCTAAAGCAAAGCTGCCAACCAAAGTCCTTCTTCCTTCAACAATCTCTCTATCTCCATGTCTCAGAGTTGGAAATTTGTTATTCAATTCAAATTCAATTAAAAAATACTTTATTTACTCCATGTTTCTTGCATTTGTTTCTAATCCTTTCTGTGTTTCTTTTTTGTGACAAATACATTTTGGAAAAGGAACAAAAGAAACAACCTTAATTTCTTTAGAACATCATATATTCTCTTCTCAGGTTTTGGGAGGTTTTATTTAGGTTTTTATAGCAGAAAAACAGGATTGTGTTTTCAACCTTACTAATTAGGCCAGACATGGAGTCTACAGGAGATTGTTGTCACAAGCTTTAATATTTTTCTTGGAACTCATTTGTTTGTTTTTATGTTTTAATTACACATGATAAAAGATGGAAGATGCTTTGAAATGATTCTATGTGGTTTAGTTTTCCACATGCTAATTACTGGACAGAGGAGAACGTGTTCGCTGTTCACACTGTCTGCAAACATCCACCAGAGAGGAAACGTGCAGTTTTCTATCAAATCTCTGGTTTGTAAAGAAATACAGACACCGAATGAAGCCTGACCTTTGGCCTCACAGTCCCTGAAGGTGACAGAAGCTTCATATTTGGTCATGAGGCCTCCTCCACACAGAAAGCACAGAACCCGGCCTGGTTCTGGCTGGTAGGAGCCCAGAGGACAGAGCTGGCAGGGCCGGAAGCCGTCAGTGGAAAACTGTCCTGCAGGACACTGACCTGTCAGGCAGACAAAACAAAACAAAACCCCCATTTACAGTCAGTCTTCCTGAGTGGAAGTTGGGTGGTATTTATGAATTTTTCAAACCACCGGCTGTCACACTTGAACATCACCAAGTTTTACAGCTGAAGCAGAGGCCAGATACCTGCGGCTCCAGGGCCGCGTGTCACGCTTTAGACTCTGTAGTGTGGCTTTCAGTAACATTGTAAAAACAATAACAAAATGCTACTTTTAGCTTACGCGCTTTCATGCAACACATGCACAGCATTTTTAAAAATAAAAACCAATACTAACACCTTAAACTAATTGTGTTAGGACTATTCCTTGTTTAGTCTTTGTTTTTTGTTAATAGGTAACAATCTATGTGCATTTTATGAGGTCAATCTCTATAAAAACTGAATTTCCCATTGAAGAAAACATATTAAACCTAAAAACAAAATTGTTGGTTTATTTAATTTACAAATTTAATAAAAAATTTTCTGCAGATGTTATTATGGAAAACATCTATAGGAATATCTACATTTTAAAGAGACATGTTGCTTTGAGGCTCTAAACAAATGCTGGAAAAAATGGTTCTTATGGTTGGAAAGGTTCCCGCAACTGAAGTAGAGCAATGCCTGGATGTTAAACACTGAGTTGCCTGATTGTAGTTTCTTTTCTTTAGTTCAGTTTATTTATGTTGTAGAAAAGAGTAAAATGATCTCCTGGCACATAAAGTGCTTTGTGGAAGTATTCAAACCTTTTGACACATTTCAGATATTAAAAAGTTATGGAAGACCAAAATTGCAACATTAATTCTATTTTCAGCTGCTGTCGTTCACTTTCACACTGAACTGTGTCAAACAAACTAAACCCTTTGAAAAGCCTGTTCTCCTCCTCGCCTCTGGGGGCGCTGCATCAAAAAAACACTGAAGGAAACGACACAAAAATCTTCAGGAAATGGAAACAAAAATGGAGTGAAGGCAGATTTCAGCGGTTATATGATTTCTCTTTTTTTTATTTTGGTCCTGGTAGTGCTGACTCACTTGTTTAATTTGGATATGTTTACCCAGAATTCCCTGCTCTTTGGCCCACTTCCTGCTTTTGATCTGCTTAGTGTTCACATTTACACAGTGTCAGAGTTCACTTCAACATAAGTGACACCCAGGTTTGTATGCGGACCAGAATTCACTTCTTTGGTTTGCATCAGAGTTTGATTACACATTCACACCTCTGTAAACGACACCAAACTTTCTAGACAACAAACTAGAAGCGAACTGAACAGGCCTGTTAGGAATGCACCCAGTGCTATTAATCATATTTTTTTCTCCTGTTTTTTTCTTACAAATATGACTGGATCTAATGAAAATGTTATCGAGACGATGAGGTTACCTCCACACTGAGATACGTTCTTGGCACCGGCGATGCCCTGTCCTTCAGTGCTGGGACACGGTTCACAGGAGAGCTGTCCCTCCATGTCCTGGTACGTTCCAGGAGGACACTGAACACACTGCTCCTGCTCTCCACTGTAAAATGTCCCTGCACCACAACTCACTGTGGATGAAAAGCACACAGGTTTAATTCTCACCCAGGCACAGCACAGTCAAGACATCTCCACGAAGTCCAGACCCACCACACTTCCCGTCCTGGAAGACCTGACCAGTGCTGCAGGTATCGGCTCCCTCTGGGATCCTGGACGGTTTCTGGGCCACTTCGTACTCGGTTCCAGAGAACTGGATGTAGAACTGCTGCTTGTTAATGGACTTCCTCAGTGTCCGCATGGCGATCTGGAGCTTCTGCCTCATCTTGTCCCGCACACAATCCATGTTACACGAGTCTGAGGTAAAAACGTTGAACTTAAGCATGTCTTGAGCCTTTGCTGTATGTTTACGGTTTCATTCTGGCAGGTTGTGAGAGAACTAAGAGAGAAAACAGAACCTGAGGCTTCCTCCTCTTTCATCTCCATCTCAAACTCCGCCGTGATGAGGGAAACCTCTTTGGACGGAGACTTGCGCCCTCTGCGCCGCTTCTTTGACGAGTCACACTTGAAGTTGACGAACGTTACCTGGCAGTCATCTGTGCAGGGGAACTGCCCTCCTGTCAGAGTGAAAACAGAAATCATGAGGATGAAATTTGACTCCAATGTGATTTCTGCATCAGCGCATCTGAAGTGAGCAGAGATGTTCTTTACCTTGGATGTTCTGCCTGGAGGAGTCCTTGTGTTTCTCCTTGCTGCGGGGGCTCAGGTGACACTTGGCATCTTTAATCTTAAACTTGGCCTTCTGCTTGATGGGTGGGGCCAGTGGATCTGTGTTCATGCACATCAAAAATGAACACAAAGTGTGCTTAATATCAGACCTGTGAAGACTTCCTATCAATTGATTTGTGATCAGGGCAGATACATTTGTGCCCATTCAGAAAATAATCATTATTTCCGATGAGGTTTGAGTTTCTGTTCCCCTTTTTGGGCAGCGGTTTCTGAACTCACCTTCCTTGGATGTTCTGCCTGATTGGTGGTGTTAAAACATCTGACCCAACTCTGGGTCATGAAGAATGGCTCCAGAAATCAAATTTGATTTAAAACCATCGGCAATGGCTCATTTTGTTATTGCTACAAAGCTTTAAAAAGTTTACTGCTGATTATTAACAAGAACTGGGTGTGCAGGCTAGGATTTTCTAAATTTGCCTGCTGGCAAATTTACAAAGCTCCAAACTACACAGAACAGACTGGAACACAAAGTGTGACTCAATGACCAGAATAACACTTTATTGGAGAGTATTTGATTGCAGTTTCAATATTTGTCGTCTTTAAGCCACATTGTAGCTGAATTAGCAGTTTGCTTTATCTCCATTTGGAAGACACAGTGGTGTCTTTGATTGCTTCCATGCTCATACAGTAAAGAGAGGCACTGAGCTTATCCAGCAGGATGGATCTCAACATGATTTTACAGTTTTGTCACAGACCGGGCTTATGTTGAACTATTATTAAAGTTGTATGCAATATAATCTTCACACATTGAAAAAAAGTAAGAGTTCAAATACACTATTAGTCTAAGGGTGCACCAATATATTGGCCCTAATTTCCTTTAGTTTGGGATGTTAGCGATCAGCTGATACTTAGGTGTGAAACATCATCATTAATCTTATCTACCTCTGCAAAGGTCTAAAAATCTAACTCTGTCCTTTTTTTCCCTCTGGCTGACTGACAGACCCGCCCACCAGGTCACGTCTGAATGTGTGCAGTTAACGACAGTCACCCCACTGTGGCTAACTCTGCTCCACTGTCGCCATATTCAGCGCTTTTTCAGACAAAACATAAAAAGAGTCGGTATTGGGCAAAATCGGATTGGACAAGTCTGACTTTTTAAGGGTCAGCAATGAGCCAGAAAACTGCATCCATACACTAGTCATACCGTCTCCATGGAAATAAAACACATGTACACAACCAATGCTCACAGTGGAAGGTCTAAAAAACTATGACCAAATCAGAGCACACCTTCTGACTGCCGAATCAGGCTCTGCTGAAAAATAGGATTTATAAGGAGTGGTGGTGGCGGTATCATGCTGTGGGGATGCTTTTCTTCAGCAGGGACAGGGAAGCTGATCAGCGTCGATGGAGATAATTACAGGGCAACAATTCAAGATATTAAAGTTTGTGGTCATAATGTGAGACTTTTACATAACTCTTTAGTTCCTGGATTTAATGCAACAGTGCAACATGTTTAGGAGCATTACCAGGTTGGATGGGAACTCCACAGCTTAATGTGTAGTTCTCTGAGTCTGCAAGGAAGAAACACAAACATTAGATTTTAGTTAAAGAAAGAGGAATGATCATAATGAGAGTTTAGGGTTTACGTAATGTTAGGGGGTGATTGGTGGTGTTAAAACAAGTTTCATCCCTATTTTGTGCAAAAACAGACAGAGAGCCCAAAGGCTGACGTGTTTCCATCTGACCTTAACCTTGATTGTGAAATGAAAGCTGAAAAAAAAAGAGTTATTAATGATGTCTCTCTCCTCCAATGCACAGGAACACACATGTACACATTTCGAGAAGGAAACGACAGATTGAAGCCTTCGAAAATCATAAAAAGCAAGCAGAATAAACAAGAGTCCAGTCTCTGTTAAGCCACAAGTATTTTACCTGGCTTTCACCTCTGTGATATTAAAACGGACTCCAACAAAACAAACACTTCACTTCACGCCTCGGAGCCATCTATCATTCTCACACTGCAGCTGCCAAGTCAAACCTAGCGAGGGCCACATTACGGAACGCCACCATCAAAGTATGTAATCATTTTGCAGATGTGTTAAGCGCTATCGCAGCAAAAGAGCCTGAGGTGTTAGCCAGAGCGTTGGGATGGCTGGGGCTGACAGGACCCCATCCTGAGTGAATAACACACCAGTCAGAGCAGAGAGCTGGACGTGGAGCCCAGAAATAAAGCTCAAAAAGCTGCAGCTGTCAGCTGATGCCACCAGAGGGCAGCACTCAATGGCAAACAAGTAGATGCCTTGATTAAAAATGTGAAAGAGGATTTCAATTAGATTTTTATACTATGATAACCTTATTAGATTCAAAATGCAGTTTGTGAACGACCGTGTCATTTATTAAAGGAACATATAACCAGTGAGTGAAAAATAGTCCAAGATGTCCAGGACTGGCCGTCCAGTCACTCTGAGAGCAGGCCGCAAAATGCTAAATGAAGTCTACAAAACCAACACCGCAGACTTTTCTGCTGTTATATCAACTACAGCAAGAGCCTGTTGATGATATGACAGAAAATATGTATAATCAAAAAATTTAAAGGGCCGGTATTGTGTATTTTCCAGGCACATTGTGCCATTTCATACCACAATCTACTAAACAACATAGTAAAAATGCTGTATAAGATGTGACTTAGAAGAAACAGGACTTTGGTATTTAACTTCTTGAAATTGTCTCTTTAAGAAACTGCTGCTTTTTCTGACACTCCGCCTTCATCACAACAATGCTTTCCTTTCATGAACATCCGAATCGTTTTTACGACTGGAAGGCTCTGATTAGCCTCTCACAAGTTCATATAATAGCTGAACTCTGACCCCAACCCCTGTTGGAGTTGTAAAGCAGGAAATTCAAACCATCTCTTCCATTGATCATAATGGGAAAAGATCATATCTCTGACTCCAACGTCTCTCGCCACGACTCTTTGAAGATGCCTGAATCATATGAGTTGCAGCAATATTTTATTTCCCTTTAGGATAAATAAATTACATTTGAGTTGAATTTGAATGAACAACAACATAAATCAACTCATTAATACATTCTCAATTTTGCCAGAGTAAACAGGACACAAGAAAATCGATGCTAACTTCAGAGCTACTTTCAGTAGCTCAGATCATTTCAGGAGCAGGCAGCTGCTGCTCATCCAGAATGCTGCAGCAAAGTCCTTATGTCACTCCTCTGGCCGCGTTTTTAAAAAGATTGATTTTAAATTCTTGTTCGGTGTCGGTCTACAAGTGTTTCCATTTTTCCATGTACAGTCTAAACGTTACCAGTGTTTCAATGATGCATCATAATTCGCTGTTCTTTCTGGTCCTGAATGATCGACGGAAACTCTACCTGCGAGGAAGAGAGCGTTGGAGGGACAGGAGAGCGAGCAGACCTCTGCACCTCCGCTCTTAGTGCAGACCAGCTGGGCTCGCGGAGCAGGCTTTCCGTTAGGTAGACACTTCACAGCCTCTGAGGAGCACACCACACCACATCACACACCGGCAACGTCCAAACACGGAGGCTGGAGGTAGAGGCGTGGACGGGCCGGAGCCGGAGCTTACCGGTGCAGTCCTTCTTGTTCCAGTGGAGCTTCTGTCCCGGCGGACACACACACTCATAGCTGCCCTGTGTGTTCATGCAGCCGTACTCACAGCTGCCGTTGTTGATGCTGCACTCATCGACGTCTGATGCAGGAAAGCAGAGAGAAATCTGTGTCCTGGTCGAGGTCAGAGATACAGGTCAACAACATCTCTGCGTGGACACTCACCTCCACAGTGTGTGAGGCCGTAGAGGATGTATCCCCTGTTGCACAGGCACTCAAAGCTGCCAGGATAGTTGATGCAGGTGTGGTCGCAGGTCCTCTCAAAGGAACACTCATCGATGTCTGAGGGAGGCCACACACACAAACGGCAACGGTTTTCACACTTCTTGAACTTTTTCACATTTTGTACAAGTGCAACCGCAATCCGTACCGCGACACATGGTGTTTGAAATGTTTCACAAACAATCGAAAGCGTGGGGCTCTTTTTGTTTCCTCTGAGTGAATCCTTCATGCAAGCAGCCTGTGTTGGTTGTGTGAAGGACGCAACAGGTCAATTCAATATCAACTAAATGTCGTTATTAATAAATAATCCATCAAATGAAAAGAAAAAAAAAAGGCCTCCATGAAATAAAACCTTCCTTCCTGCCAACAGTCAGTGTAGGTGATTTATGAAGGCAGCTGATTAACAGCTCATTTTATTTAGGGATATCAGATTGAAGGGGGCTAAACGCAAAAGCACTCCACACTTCTTGGCTTTACATGTGACATATTTCAAAACTAGTTATGATTTTCTTTCCACCTCACAATTCTGTGCTTCTTTGTGTCGGTCTATCAAAAAATACTGATAGTTTTTCCCTGAACTGTGTGTGTTCTAGTGAAATGAGATGCAAAGGCAAAATGATAACAACTGACGTTAGATTTGATCTAACATTTTACATGAGGGCCAAAACTAAGAGATGAACCTGTTGAGCGGGCAAATTCATTAATTATATAAATACTTAATTACAAGAGGGATCTGTAAATCAGTGCAGATCAAAACATATATAAACAATCCTTAACAACTGCATTATTAAAGAGGATTACAGTTTCCTATTTTTTAGTAGATTTTGGGCTAGAATATGTTTTTCAGGAAGGATTAAGTAATAAATGCTTGTTCATGCAGTAAACAAATTCAGTTTAAGGAGAAACGCCTTAAACTTAAATAAGAATCTTTTTTTGTCACGCAGGATGTAAAATTATGGTCCTCTGACTGACTTGTTAAAAAAGTAAAGTTTCTCACTGCGACTCTTCCTCTCAGTCTGTTTCCTCGAGATGACCTCTAAAAATACTAAACATATGCATTACTGTTATGACCTTTTTTGTCTAAAAGAGAAGATTTTTTTGATTTTCATGAGACATAAATCTCATTAAAATCAGTTTTAAAATCTCGTTAAACTGACAAAATGTTCAATTTGTTTTGCAATTTCGTCATAACGAGAACATTTTCTCTTTATTTTCAAGTGCTGGCAGGTAGATGCCTTCATAAAATCCTGAACAAAACACAAGTCCAATAAAAGGCTGAAATATTCTGCTTCACTTGGAATTCAGGACACAGTAAAATCAAAACTTGCTCAAAGCAAGTACCATAAAAGTGTAAGAACTAGTTATAATAAATGAATAAATGTGAAATCTCAGTGGGATACAGTGTTGTCAGTAAACATGTTAATCTAACATGTTCTAATGGAGTCTGTAACTCAGAGGAAGTTGGTCTGGATCCTGGATGTTTGCTCTGCAAACAGTGAGAGGACATTGGAACGGTTCGCCCGTGTGGTCGCAGCCAGTCGGACCAGAACGGTTTGCATAAACAGAAACGCCACACAGTAGTTCCTAACATACGTACAGTCATCCTAAAAAGAATGTACACCTTTCATTTAGAAGATTTTTACATATCAAGAAATAAACAAACACGATCTGGTCACAGCCATTCAACAGACACGTTGCCATCGCTGAGCAAAGATGAAGCCAAAATGGAGAAACTGTGTGAAGAGCTAATGCCGGGTTCACGCCGCAAAATTGCCGGATGATTTTCCAACTCGAGACAATCAAAAATATACCAAATAAAAGGTTTTGAGCATAGCTCTTCTTCCTCTGACCGCCTAAAACTGCAGTTTGTGAGCATCATGGCCAGGGAACTTTGAATGGAAATGTCAATGGAAATGGACATTAAAACATTATTAAAGCGTATCAATGTTTCAGAGAAACACCTTGCAAATATTTTTTTATAGAAACACAACAGTTGTGAAACTGTTTTTTTTTTTCAGACAAAGATTTGCGAACATTCGTAATGGAAACACAGCTATTGCTGGCTGAATTGAAATCTGTTGAAAATTTCTGGTGGGGGTTGAAAATGGCAGCTGCAGCACAAAAACCCAACAAGAGCTGGAGGCCTTTGGCTGTGAGGGGTGGGCTAAGATTAAGGAACACTACAGGCTTGGTAATCCGGAGAACGCCAGACTATTAAAAATGCTCATCATAAAGAGGTTGAATAATTTGGCGACTTCGATAGTCAGTAAAGGTGTCACGCTACATTTACCCTCCCATGCTGTTAGCTTGTTGCTCAGGAGGAGCGCAGCAAATGTCACGGTTAGACAGTGGGTAAGCGGGGGCATTGTCCTATCAAAACGTCGGTTTCCAAAACCACAAATAAAACCGTATAAAGCCGCCGACGAGGTCAGTGCAACCCTGTCGGACCGCACACTGTAAAGAACTGGTGGGGCCCAAATGACCCCGCCTCTTAAGAACGCTGAAGACTTAATTTGTTCTTGTTTGATTGATTCACTGCAATCATCTGTCAGTTTGCACATTTTGCCCGTAAAGTTTTTTTTTTTGTTTTTTTTCCACAGCTGGGGTTGAATCATTTTGGCTTCAGATGTCTGTGGATGGGAAAAACCTGGCAGCTATTGGCATTGCGGCACATTGGCAGAGGTGTGCTTCTGCTAGCGACGCCATATCAGAGAGACGCTGTGATGTGGCTAACACCACTCAACACCACATACTTAAAGACTTCAAATATGCAACCAACGAAGCCTGGCTAACCCAACGCATACACACACTGCTGTTTGTCTCAGAGTGTTTGTTTTGGGCGGAGCGTAGAAGAACCTTAGGGTTTTGGTGTTAGGAAAAATCATTTTGTGTTTGTCTGATCTGCCTCGCTTGCTGTGACTTGTAAGTAGGAATTTGCCTTTGGTCATGCAACCTTAGTGTGTTCAGAAAGCATCCAGAGACATGACATACACACCCAGAGAGGGAACTCACAGATGCATGAACAGCAGCTTGACCTTCCCCTACTGAAGCAGTAACTCTGCTCTGATTACATCAAACAATGCAGACAGTTCAATTTTCACAAATGAGATCATAAATAGCTACAAAACACTTGCAAGCTGTACAAAAGACCAGAATAACTTTACTTATAATGATAGCCAAAATGTCTTTCTGAACCAAACAGATTATTGGCAAAAAAAAAAACAAAACCAAAAAACAATGATTAAAAAAAGAGACGTCTGCTAACCTTTGCATGTTCGTTCATCGGTGAGAAGTTTGTATCCTTTCTGGCAGCTGCACTCGAAGGAGCCCACCGTGTTTCTGCAAAAGTGATCACAGCCTCCATTGTTCTCCTCGCATTCGTCGATATCTGAGTTGATTCAGTCAGAAGGTCAAATCAACAAAGATAATTAGGGACACATGAAAAAAGTCACAAAAAACTCACACAAGAACACCAATACTGGAGCACTCCATCCTATACATGAAGGGTTTGCCCATCAGGGATTGACAGTTAACAGGTAAAGCGTATTTAGGATTGGAAACAGGCAATAAACTGGAAGAAAGAGAAGATGCTCTTTCTTAGGAACTCAAAAATGTTAGATAAGACAGTAGATTCTCTAATTATTTTCCAAACCTCTTCTACAGACAGTTTTATCTGTAGGGATTAATTTTGCTTTGGGAAATATGATTATACAACACTACAGCACATTCAATTAGATTATGTTCAAGTTTCCTTTTAAAAATGGAGCAATATGAACATTTTCATGGAAATACGTGAGACAGGCTGGTGGGTAATTTCCATCTCTCATCCTGAAGGCATTGATGTTGAACCACATCAATAAGCAAAGGGACAAAAAAAACACAAAATAACACAAGAATAAATACATAAAACAACCTTAAAATGTTTATCTGTAGATATACTCAATGTTGGCATTTTTGAAATAGATTCTTAGAAACATGGATGAAATTTCTAGTGGGTCCAAAGTTGGTTGACAGCTGAAGGTCGAATGGCAGAGCTGCACCACACCACAGGTCAATGTACCTGCAGCAGATCTGCTACACAAAGTGGATCACTTTAAATTCACTCCCAATGCACAATTATTTTATCAAGTGTCTAATTTTAGCTTTTTACTCTAACTTTTTATTCTATATTCTAGTTATACCGTCTATATTATTGCAATATTTGTATTGTGATAAATATGATGAGATGTGCAATGATGGCCGGATAACAAAGTTGACCTTGACCATGACCTTGAAACTCAACTTAAAACCTGTTAAAATTGTCTTTCTTGTCACAACCAAACTGACGCATTTTGATGGGACTCTGTGTAACAGAGTTTGATAATAAACAACATTTTCACAAATAAAAATGTGAATAACACAAAACAAGACATGACGTTCACATTCAGCCTGAATAAATCTGTCCTCCTCTGTGGAATTTAATTTCAGACAAATTCATGCACAAGTGTTAGAATATGTCAGGAACTCTTCAAATACACACAAGTATTGGACAGTTTTTTATAAAACATATTTTACGACTATTACTATTAATAATAATATTAAAAAGGGGGATGGAGTCGCCCTGAGGAGCTGCTTTTATTGACCACATGGCAGATCTGGTTGGTAGATGGATGAACTTATATAGCTCTCTTCCAGTCACACTGACCACTCCAATGATTTGACACCAGAGCCGCCTTCGCTCATTTTAACACATTTATACATCTTAGTGTAAGTGGGAGTAAGTGTCTTGGCCAGGGGCACATTGATATGTGACAGGAGGAAACTGGAAGGCAATTCCTCTACTGAGCCGCAGTTGACCCAGTCCAAGCAGAAATGGTGATAAGCAGGGAGGGAACCGGAAAACATGAGAGGAAAGAGGAACTTAGATACTAAAAGGGAAGAATATGGATGTAAGAGAGAGGGAATGGTGACTAAAACGAGAGCAGGAAAATTGTCAGTAGAAATGTGTGATAATCTGTTTTTTTTTTTTGTTTTGTTTTGATCACCGGTTTGGGGACTTTTGCATTTCATTTGGTTCCCATTTTGCCCATGTTCAATAACTAACCAAGTGAGTGTGCGCCCCCAAGTGGGCACATGAAGATCAGCTGAAGTAATGGAGAACTAGTCTGAGCTGCTCTGACTGAACAAATGATTTGGATCTTCATCAGTGCAGACAGAGTGTCGGCATTGTGGAACATGAGATTTAGAAATGTTATAATTGGGTTATTACAGCATTTATGATGATTCAGTAGCTGTGGTGTGGAGCTCAAATATCCCAGAGGGTACTGGAAACTCAGAGGCTATTTTGAAGGTTTCAGTTAATTAACTATAAAAGCACTTTCTACATTTGAGGCCATTTCTTAAGATTTTGTCTGTGTTGCTCCTGTTCATGTCTTTGCTCCCATTATTTGTTATTTCATGTTTTACCTGAAGTACAGTCTGTTCCAAAGGATTTTATTCCAGTCATTAACGTGCTTCTGTTGTTTCCCGAGGCTGAGAGGGACAGCTGTTTTTTCAGATTCAGGATAAAACCAAAGTGCAAACGCGTCACTTTTGAGTTGAGAAGTCTAGAAATGATAAAACTAATGGTTAATTCATTTCTACGAAATCCAAAAATTAGGGGGCGGAGGGGAACAAACGTTATTCCACAGTGCTTGCTTGCTAGCCGTGTTGTTTTCACTGCAGCGCGTCTGTAAAACCAGTGAACACAACATTGAGCTTACCCAAGACAGACAGACACGGCTTTTTAATTACCTTCCTCGCTGAAAACACTGGCAGAATCACAGCATCTGCCCACACTTAAGGGGCACTTTGAGGGTGGCTATGGGTAGATAATTACCCTTAATGAAGCTTAAATGTTCCTTGAGCCTAAGTAAATACATTAAGCCAGAGCAAGTCTTGAAATGAAAAAGTCTGCAATGAAGAAAAGGAGGACAGATAAACGCAAGTCAGTCCTTCCGAAGTTTCAATATGATCTAAGTTTTTGTCATCATTCAGTCCGATAAGGACAGACTGTGTTCTATAAAATAGTTAAGTGGGTTTATTAAAAGATTGAGAGTGATGTTCATACATTGAGAAGGCTATCAGTTGTAATCAGATTCCTTCAGACAAAAAAGCATGTAAGGCAAATACAGTGGAGAGAATAAATATTTGATATACTTGATTTTTCAAGTTTTCCCACTTGTAAAGAATAGAGAAATCTGTCAGTTTCATAATAAGTACACCAGAACTGTGAAAGACAGAATATATATTATATTGTTTTGGCATTTTAGTGTTTCAATATTTAATCGCCACCCAACACAAATTCTGCTTCTCACAAAGCTGGTTCATCTTAGGAAGCTCTCTCATCCTTCCTTACCTGCATTATTATAGTTTGGGATTTTCATCATAGTTTAGTTTTGTTAACTTTGGCACATTTACATATAAAAACGGGAAAAGTAGGGTTAGGGTTAGGGTTAACCCTAACCCTACCCTAGGGTTTCGGTCGGCAGTTTATAGATTTAATTGTTGATTCAATTTCAAAACTATAGTCACAAAACACAGCCAGTCAGGTGTCTTAAAAGAACGGATTAGTTGCACTTATTGCTCGCGTTAGATTGATTCTTAAAAAGTTTAATTAGGTCTGAGTCACATATATTGAAATATTGGTTTTAGAGTGGAATTATGTGATTCCTGACTGTAAGATGCGGCATGGTGTTTGTTTCTGTGTCAGTTAATCAAATGGCTTCACTCACCAACTGCTGATGCAGGAGAGGTTATGAATCAAAAACATTTACTGTTATTAGTTTAATGATTAAAATAAAACAATGAGTGAAATCAGTGTGTGCACAAGAATGGACTCATTCATGCTTGTTTTCTTTTTTAACAAAGAAACATCTGGATGGCCAAAGGCAATGTGGAACTTTAATGAGGATGTCCTTAATTAAAGGAAAGACATTTCACACAAGACTGCATCCGGAGAGTGTGTTGGAGCAAAAAATTCAAAACAAAAAAATTTAAATAATTTCATAAGTGGTCAGCCAAAACCAAAAGATGCTGTGAAGAGCACCCTCCCTCCCAGATCTGTCTCAATGCATCAGAAATGTTCTGGAGTGGTTAATGAGCGAAGTTTTCTTTCAACTCAACGTTTGAGAAGAAAAAATGGAAAGAAAGAAAATGCGAGGTTAAACAAAAACAAATCAGATTCTTCTCACTTTGGCCTGATGCGGACTCCCGAATTGGAATGTGCACCAAACACAAATACAGAACAAATTGCGTAAAGCTAAGAAAATCTGTGCAGCTTTTGCAAATATTTACAGAGAGAAGTAATTAAATGGAAAAGATTTGCAGAAACCCGAACCTCCACAAATAATTGGCGACAGAGCATGGGGATCTGGTTGTGTTGGAGAGTGTTGGTTTTCTTTGCAGGGTGTTGTCAGTGCAGAGGACAGACATCAGGCTGAGAAGACGTGTGTATTTACTCGGGTATTAAATGACCACAGCTCAGAAACAAACACTCCATGACTGCATGTGGGCTGAAGGAAAACTCTCTGTTTTGCATAACAATGATGTGTGATGAGAGGCTGAGCTGCAGCTCCTCTGAACAGCTCCGGCTATTACAGTCTCATTTAACTCAGCCTACTCACCACACAGGGAGGCCCACGGATTCACAGCTGCTGTCTTGGTTGTATGTCGAACACTTGTAGAGATATGCGTGTAAAAACGGCTTGAATTGGACTTAAAATCTTTTCTTTTTTTTTGTGTGTGTGAAGCTTTGATATTGCACTTGATGTAAAATCTTGGCCTAATCCTGATTCCAGCTTGAGGTACAAGAAGCTCTGACCTTGGATCAAACAAAAATAAATAAACTCCATGACCTCTTACCTGAAGATATTTATTGGAGTTATATTACCCATTTCCACCCAGCAGTTTGAAGTAGACTACTTTTAAATAACTGACAGTTATTGTAGGTACAAAGAGACCCTGATGACATGTTATGTGCTTAGAGACCTCTGGTAGACGGGTGTTGTACACAGAACAGGCAGGATAAATGTACTGAACTAACAGAAGGATTTTCTTGTCATGCTGATCATTCGCAGAACTTTTACACTCCATTGGCCCACAGTCACACAGCAGCAGACCCCTTGGGGCTAAGAGCTCAACGGTTCACCGTTTGGTCTGAGCAGCCAAAATGTCAATTTTAAATATTCATATATTATTACAAAATAAATGTCTTTTAAGTCATATTTGATATATACGTAATTTTTTGGTATTAGAGTGGAATTATGTGATTGGCGTAATTTTTAACTGAAGTTAACATCGTTATTTGATTGTGCTATGAAATGTCATTGTGTGGCTGACACCGTCCCTTTAAGATGACTGTAAAAATGT